AAATCCAAATATATAAATGAGACGCATTTTTTTTTAATTATAAACTGTAAATGAATTTAAATACATTTTTAATGAATTTAGTTGGAATTTAAAAAAATTCGGTTCAATTTGTTTACGATCTTGGTTGACCAGATTAGCAACATTCTTTTTTATTATTGATTTCAAAATATGGAGCCCACACCATATTAGATATGCATGGGTTAGTTCTTCAATATTAGAATATAAGTCTATTTTCTCCATGATTGGTGTTTGATTTTTCCTTTTAATTATGTTTTTGTTGCCCTCTTTTGGGGGTACATATGGTTGTACTTTTAGCCTTATAGTTTAAGCCATTGTTGTAATGACGAAGAACATCATGAAGGACACACAACCCAAGTAACCCTTTACACTATATTTTTACCTTTCATTATCTGTATTATCGTTTTCTACTTTTCTTATGATATGATTCACGTGGTTGCTTTTGTTTTTATTTTTATTTTTTTTAATTAATGCAGGAGTTTCTACCTTAAATATCGTATTCAGTTAAATTAATTATTGTGGTTGTTGTTAACTGTTTCAGTAACGTTTAATACTATTATTGACGATAATTCATATAACTTTTAGCTTTTATCTTCTGTGAAAAGCTACTCAAACAGCTAATAGCTAAATGCTACTAAAACAAAAACAATTAATTTTATCGAATAAACTCTAAGTGTTTGAATAGCTAATAGCTTTTTAGCTAATAGTTTTTCATAAAACACTAAAAGTTAAGTGTTAAAGGGAATAATCTTTAAAAGCTAGTACAAACGCTATGTTATTCAATATTATAAAAAAAATACTAAAAACTACTTAAAAAACTGTTGTTAAACATAACGAAAGCCTATCCTTTATTAACCCTAGATAAAAAAAAAAAGGAGAAATAGTGTTGTTCATAATTTTTTTTAACGTTAGAAATGTCTTTTTTTATAATAATTTTATCATTTATTTGATTTAAAAAAAATAATTAAGACTACTAAAAAATATTTTTCTAAAAAAATCCGTTCAATCCCTTTGTCATATATTACTCATGTGAAAAACTAAATTTACTAATATGACATTTTTAAATTTGTTTCTTTTTTCTGTTAATATCAAGTGAAAATAATTGACATAATAAAATATTTCATGTCAACTATACAATCAAGTGCTAAAACATAAATTAACAAAGCAAAATGACAAATTTAGACTTATTATCTCCACAAGTTCAAGTCGAAGTTTAATTTCATATTAAATTAATTAGTCGGTAATCTATTATAGAAAGTTTCAAGTTCTTATATAAAATTACGAAAAATTAATAATTGATGGTAGAATTACCAAAAAATAAAAATAAAAATTTGTATTCGTCATTAAACTGAATGATAAAGCAAATACTCTCTCTGTCTCATTTTGTTTGTATGGTTTGACAAAACACGCATATTAAAAATTTAGTTTATAAAAGTTATTTTATCATTATTTACCTTTAATAACTCATTAAGATACTAAAAATCCTTCGTTCAATGAACAATTATAAAGGTTATTATGGAAAAAAATAATTGTTTACCTGTCTAAATTTAGAAACCTTGTAAATATTTTAAAACATCTAAAAAAGGAATAACAAGCAAATAAAATGAGACGGAGAGAGTATTTGATTATTATAATTTTATCCTAACACGTGGATATCAATCACAATGATTAGTATTAACTTCATCGTATAATTTATAAGTTCCCAAATCTTTTTTATTATATCTAATCAAAATTAACATGTGACTAAATTTTATATATTAAATGTTCCTATAAAATAATGGACCACAGCACGAGAATCTTAAGTAATAATTCTCCTTTTTTTTTTTAAAAAAAAAAGTAATAATTCCCCTTACTTAATACTCCTTAATATGAACAGTTGCCGGTCGCTAACCACGTTGGCTAATCAAGAATCCCGGCAAAAATAGTTAACAGACTCTAAATTTTTTGGAAAATGAATTTAAAAAAAAAAAGAAAAGAAAAGACGCAAGAATCGCTACCACAAATGGTTAAATCAAACAGATTCTTAATTTTTTTTGAAATTGCATTTTTAAAAAAAAAATGGACTCTTAATTAAAATTTGATAGCTAATAGAAATCTCAACGAATTCTATCGAGTATATTTTGAAATTTTTTAATAATAGTCATTTATATTTATATTTATTTATTTTTATAAAAATAATTAATAATTTTATAATTATTTATAAATAATAACTTTTATTTGTAATTATTTATATGTGATCATCTTATTTATATATGATCATTTTATTTATAATTATTTAAAAATAATAAACTTACAAATCATACTAAAAAGTATTCAACTAATCAACTGTAGCTTGACCCTAACTTGAGCTACCATACAAATGTTATTCCATAGCTTGTTTGAATTATGTTCATAGGTGAAATACAAGTCAAGCGCTCACTAATTAGCACTCCGGTAGAAAAATTATCTTATAATCACAAAATAAGAAAGAGTGACTTGAATCTATATATAAACGACTTAAACGTCCTCCAACGTCCTCCATCTAGATACAACATTCAGTCCTCAATTTGATACTAATTCTCTCACAGTTTTTTCTAACTCAAGCATTGGATTTTTGGCATGTGTCCCCACCTCGATACGATCAATCCCTAATTTTGCAATAACTTAAATATCGGAATGCTGATAGATATCCCCAGTTCAGCGCTCGACTAATCTTAAAGTTCCTTGTTGTTTTCGATCATTGTTCAACCATGTTTAAACTCATAAATTTATACTTCACTTGGTAACATTTTATTTTTCTGTGATAATTTTATTTATAATTATTTAAAAATAATAAATTCTGTTAAATATTATCATACAAAATTAATTAATATTTTTGTTATATAATAAATTAAAATAAAATATATATTTATTTTAAAAAATAAAAATAAATATTAAACATAATAATTTATAAAAAAATTATATCTTTAATGATATTATTTTAATAACAATTCTTACAAAAATTTTATATCAAATAACAAAAATTTAATTATCAACAATCGGTTATCAAACTGCTCTCAAAAACTGATACTAGCTATATGTCATCGTATTAAACTACAGAAAATTATAAGCAATTTGCGAAATACAATTAATCCGTCCCTATTTTTTTTAAACTATTCTAATTTATTCCTATATTTTGCTTTTGTTACATTATTAAGTTTTTTTTCCAATTTTTTTATCTTTTCAATTAAGTCAATAAGAAAACACAGATGTCAGGGAAGAGATGAAAAATTATAGTACAGTCCTTATCGTTTGAAAAATAGAATTAATCTATTTTTATGTTTTTAAAAATAAAGTGATATTTTCATAATTTCATAAAATACTTAACAGAAAAGATATAAAAATTAAATAAAAAAACTTTATAATTTGATGGAAGTAAACCATAAATATGTTTTATTCTATTTTCGAAAATATAAAGATGGACTAATTATATTTTATAAAACGTGGGATAATTTTCTCTTAAAAATATATTCTTCTGTATCATTGTTGAATTTAAAAGGAAAGTCTTAATCAGTGCCTCTCTCTCTCTCTCTAAATAATATTATAGGTACGGCTATGTGTACACTGTAGTTGCTTTTGTAGATGGAACTACGGTATTGACATGACAGGAGTGACTCCATCTAGTTTCATAAAGCAGCTGAATCAAAGCACACGAATTGTAAATAAAAATCACGCTTTTTTAATAATTATAACTAACTAATCATTTCAGTAGATACTAATTATTTATCAACTACTGCCATGAGAAGATAACAACTCCTTCCCTAAATATTATTGTTCTGTAATTAGTTAAAAAAATTATATTAAACCAATTAATTTAATATATACTGCCATGAAGAAATTAACTTCCTTCCCTAAATATTATTGTGTCTGTAATTAGTTAAAAAAATTATATTAAACCAATTAATAAATTATATAATATATGATATATATATATATATATATATAATATATATATATATATATATATATATATATTATAAACTGATTCTTGGTCATCTTATCTATTACATTAATTCATTGAAGTATATAAACCAAATAATTTAATCAATAAATTTTTTAAAAATTATTACTCTCTATCATTAGCAAAGATAACCTTTTGATTTAACAAAAAAACAAAAAAAAAAAAATAAAGGGATTAAGTTAAAAAAAAAAAAAAAAAAAAAATAAAGGATTAAAGTTCACTGGAAGGATTTAAACTGTACGAGTAATCACTTAATGAGATGTCAACTTCAATTTCTCACGTATCTAATTTTATATTTTTTAACAATAAAATCCTTTTAATGCAATTAAAACTTTCCGTTGGCCGAAATATCACATAATTAACATCTGGTCTTTTTTTTTTAAACGAAAATTGTTTCATTTAATCAAATTTCCTGTTTTCATTCCACCATTCAATCATAAATTACTTTCATTTAATTCAATCCTAAAACACACTTGATTTCCCCTTTTTGAAATGTGAACTTAGCTTGAAGGATTAGAAATTATTTTCAGCGGATTGTTCCATCCGTGGAGCTATGAACTTAGTATAGGCAAGTGTTTTGTTCCATACGTGGAGCTATGAACTTAGTATAGGCAAGTATTTTCTAAGGATCAAATTAAACAGTGACCTCACATGCAATTGTTTCTCCCCAATCAAATATATGTTTAGCAAATATTATTAATACAACTCAAATAAGTAAAGACTGATAGCAACCAATTCAATTAAGGGCAACTTTGTAAATTGGAAAATAAGAACAAAAAAATAAATTGTCCATTTCTTACATCCTTTATTCTGTCCTATGTTCTACAACTTTCATATAATTCAAGCCTCTAAAAAATCTCTGTCTATTTACATGATTACATTACACATATCATATCATATGTGAATTATAACCTTCACCCTCCTTCCCAACTTTCCCTTACCAAACCTATATTTTCTCATCTTCTCTCTCTCTTTTTTTGGTAAATCATCTTCGCTCTCTTTCATGGCTACTGATCATCGAGAAATAATCTCACGTGCAAGGCACATGCAGGATATCTCAGATGATAGCGAGAGTGAAGAAAGAGAAGAAGATGAGGATGAGGAAGAAGATGAAGACGAAGGCACGCGCCAGTGCAAAACTCGGCTTTTTACATGTGGTGGTGTTGCTGGTGGTTGTTCGCGACAAAGAGGATGGTCTTTAGGGCAAGTCTTGGACCCTAGAGCTAGATGGGTTCAAGAATGGAATAGGATTTTTCTTCTTGTCTGTGCTACTGGTCTTTTTGTTGATCCTCTCTTCTTCTACGCTCTCTCTGTTAGCGATACCTGCATGTGCCTTTTCATCGATGGATGGTTTGCTATTACGGTAACAGCTCTCCGGTGCATGACTGATGCCTTGCACGTGTGGAATATGTGGTTACAGTTCAGAATGGCTAGGAAACCATCTAACATTGGAAGCGGAGGAGAAGGAGGAGGAGGAGGAGGAGTCGGACAAGGAGGCCAAGGTAGAGGCGGCAGTGGAGGTGGAGGTGGACCGTGCTTTACTATCCCTAGCTCACTGAGATACATAAAGGCAAAGAAAGGATTTTTCTTTGATCTTTTTGTTGTTCTTCCTTTACCTCAGGTGAGAACTCTAATTTATTATTGTTTTTCATTAATGATAGATTAACCATCATCATCATCCATTACATAATGACAATTGTACAGCTACAAATGTGTGTATATATAAACAGATGTCATATTTTTGGTTAAGGGTTTTTGTCAGTAGTGTTTGAAGAGGTGACAGATGCATGTCATTAGTTGTTGTATGCATGCAGCTGGAGATACCTCTTATATATAGAGAGAGAGGGATAGTGCAGGGAGTCCATGTGATACATCTATGTCCTTTCTTCAACTAGGAAAAAGGGGTAAACTGGGGATAAAGAGAAAGCAAACAAGGGTTGCTTGAATGCTATGCCTGGCCTTTTCCCTTTCTTATTAGACTGCTTGGTTTCAGTTGTTTTGATGCTTTAGAATCAAAATGATTGCATATTTATTGTCTGATATTGATACTCTCACAAAAGAAAAAAAAAAGATTTCTATTTGTATAGGAATATATTATTTTTGCTTCTTTCATACCTCTAGTAATTGGCTATATAGTAGAAATTAGAAAGTTACAACTACATATTTAAGAAATATTGCAAAAGCTATAATCATAATTTGGTATGCATATTAATTTCTTTCACTATGTATATATACATATAAATATTTTTATTTAAATTTTTATCTTATATGTATCATCTGTTATGCATGTGAAACCTACTTTTTTTACATTTCAAATTCATGGGTTTGTTGATTTTGCTAAAAAAAAAAAAATAGTAGCTTTGTTATTTTTCTTGATTTCCATCCAAAATCTAGCTCGGTAATAATAATAATAATAATAATAATAACAATAATAATAATAATAATAATCTTCTCTATTTATTATTTTTATTCAAGAAAAGCGTAATTCAAGTTAGAGTTTGGACGGTTAGATATGTTACCTATGCATGCTACTAAATAAAAAACTAATATTAAACAAATAAATTAATAAATAAGCAAGTGACTCACAACCTTGTTATTTACTGACACGAAAAACGAGTGTTTTAGATGTTAGCGAAGAAAAAATAGATAAAGGTAATGATTTAAGTTGAGTAATGATGTGGGTATTACAATTAATACATGTTTGACTAGTTTGTCTGATTTTCATTTTTCATAGATCATATGATCTTTTGGAAATTGTTAATGTGGTATGGCTACATTTTCAAATTTTCATATTCACATGATGTGATATCCACATGAGTTAAAAATTCAATAATAGTAATAACAAATTCAATGACTATTCAAATTGAAATTTTGACGGTCAAGTCCTCTTTTGTCTTTTTGTAAATTGAAGAAAGGAGAGAAGATATGAAAATTCAAAATATTTGACCATTAAGAAACAATTATATATTAGCATTAATATATTAGTAAAAGTATATACATATATAATTATTATATAGTATATATATACTATATATATATATATATATATATATACCTTTTTTGACTTAAAGGAATTGTGAAATAGAACTAGCAGAACAATAGGAGGGGAAAAGGAAAAAGGCATTATTGCCTTTTTTATATATACCTTTCTTGACTTAAAGGAATGTGAAATAGACTAAAGAACAATAGAGGGGAAAAGGAAAAAGGCATATTGCTTTTTTTTTTTTTTAGGAAAAGTAAAATACTGTTTAATTCTTTTTTCACATGTATTTATGCGCTGTCCATGTGTTAACTAATGTGGATGTGATTTATCCACAATAAGTGCTTGTTGTAGTGAATAAAAGTTAGTACGGGTGGAGCCAGAACAATTAGTTTGGAGGAGTTAAATAATTTTTTTTTTTTTAATTTTTAAGGGACTAAATGTAATTTTTTTTTATATTATAAAGAATTAAAATGAAATTTTTATAACATTTTTTTTTTTTTGAGCACGGCCCCTTAGGCCCTAATGGAGCTTCATCTTGCCTAGTACCTTCAAGTGAAAACTTTAGCAAAATATACATATAGGCTATATTCGACAATAATGTCAAATCGCTAAATGCCAATTTTTATAATATTCGGTAATATAGTGTATGAATTAATTTTTAGAAATTAAGGTAGAGTTTTATAAAAAGTTAACTCATATGATATTTAACTTTTAACGTTTCATATAAAAAAACTACTAAAACAGCTAACAATTAAACTTTACTAAAATAACTAATTTTGCGGAAACAGACCCATATTGAGAGCTCATTTATTCATTGTTTCTCAATAACAACAAGAAGAAGAATAGTTGATAAATGAAATAAAAGGATCAAAGGAAAATAATAGTAATTATCTTTTGTTGGATCTTTCTTTATGAGTAGTAGGGACATGATTAGGATAGAACATACCCTCTACAATCAAACTTTTTTTCAGGAAAAAAAAAATTATCAAATTGTTATTAATTTCTAAAATAAAAATGTGGATGGCAGATAGTACTATGGGTGGCAATTCCATCTCTGCTAGAAAGAGGATCAGTGACAGTAGTGATGACAGTATTGTTGATAATATTCCTCTTCCAATATCTTCCAAAGATATACCATTCGGTTTGCCTCCTCCGCCGCATGCAGAATATCTCCGGTTACATTTTTGGAACTGTTTGGTGGGGAATTGCTCTCAACTTGATTGCTTATTTTGTTGCTTCCCATGTAAGTACTTCACATTTCTACTTAATTATCACTTTCTCTTCTAAATATATTGAATGTATTTAATTTTCATGTTTATGACCAGTTGTTGCTTATTTTAACACAAAATAAACTAAATCATTTTGATTGATCGACCTTCTTTGTCGTTTACTCAATTTATATGTTTATTCAATATGGAATTACCCGCATGCTTCGACAAACTGCAAAATCCTCCACTAAAAAATTCTGTTATTTTGCTATTTGCTTTATGGAATCTTTAGCTAAAGTGAGACCCGGCAAACCCAAGTGGTAGTTCCCACATTAAGCATCCAAACATCTTGCTTTCTATCCTTTTGGTTTCATAATAATAGAGAAGAAAAAAGCTGAAACTTGATGGAATTGGAGTTCATAAAGTACTTTTATTCAATAGTTACAAGGCACATTAAGGCAGATCCCATGCCCCAGACTTACACTACACATATTATTGACTTTATGTCCAATTCCCTCATGGACCGACCAAACAGAAAATGATTAGACACAAAGATATACATGTAACTAGTTTATCATAAGTCTTGTCAAATACAATAAATTTCAAAATTATTTAAATTAAATTTAAGCAAAAAAAAAAAAAAAATTTTTAAGCAAAATTCTTGACAACTAGAACATAAATGGTCGTTCATGCAGGCAGCAGGAGCATGTTGGTATTTGTTAGGGATTCAGAGGGCAGCAAAATGCTTGGAAGAGCAATGCAGAGAAACACATGGTTGTAGGATGAGGTTATTATCATGTAAAGAAACTATTTACTATGGAACTACAAGCAAGGTTAGAGATGGTGCAAGATTGGCATGGGCAGATAACAAGGTAGCCAGGGCTACTTGCTTAGACAGTAGTGATAATTATGATTATGGAGCTTATAAATGGACTGTTCAACTTGTCTCGAACGATAGCAGATTGGAGAAAATACTCTTTCCTATATTCTGGGGCCTAATGACTCTCAGGTCGGTACTATTTTCTTTCAATTTTTTTGTCGCTTGTATGTGTAAATAATTTGAAATCCTTTTGTATTGTAATGACAGTACTTTTGGAAACCTAGAGAGTACAACAGAATGGCTGGAAGTTGTTTTCAACATTATTGTTCTGACGAGTGGACTTCTCCTGGTTACTATGTTGATCGGAAATATCAAGGTAACTCGCAACTTTGCAACTAGAAGAATTGTAGTTACTGTTTAAATCAACAAGTTCAAATCTTTCTAAAGATATAACTATAAATTGTGAATATTATACACGGAAAAGATCGATAGAAAACGAAGGAAAGAAAAATTTCAAACGAAGTAATAATTTCATGGGATTCTTATTTCTCCGGCGTAGTTGATTTGTAGTTCTTTCTTTCTTGACATTTGACAGTGACCATCCTAGTGGACCCTATTTATTATATGAGACAATCAAGTACAATAATTCAAAAGCTTTATGTTAATATCATATGTACAGTAATAACACCATTTGTTCGATTACCTTTTTTTTTTTTTTTTTTTTTTACAATAATTCAAGAAGCTTTATGTTATATCATCATGGTACCCAAGGTAAAATTAACACCATTTGTTCGATTACCTCTTTGTTTTTTTTTTTTTTTAATTGTATAGCGCCCACTGGCCTGCGTCATTCAATTAGTTAATTTTTTTTTTTTTTTTTTTAATTTATAGGCCACTGCTGCGTCTTCAATAGTTAACAGGGTTTTTTAACTTAAGGCTTATATAATATGATATGTTTTCTGGAATGAAGGTTTTCTTGCATGCAACAACGTCAAAGAAACAAGCAATGCAATTGAAGATGAGAAATATGGAGTGGTGGATGAGGAAGAGACACTTGCCCCATGAATTCAGGCACCGTGTCCGTAACTATGAACGGCAGCGTTGGGCGGCTATGCGCGGTGTCGATGAATGTGAGATGATTAGGAATCTCCCTGAGGGCCTTCGGAGGGATATCAAGTACCATCTCTGCCTGGATTTAGTGAGGCAGGTAATTCAACAATTTCAGAATTCATTTTCTTTTAGTATCACTTAATTGGTAGGCCCAGAGATCATATCCATAAAGACCAATATCATTGGCCCAACAAGACTTTCAATTTCATGTGCAGCCCAAATTGGGCTGATTTATTTATATGATCAACTCGAAGCACCAAATCAATATATGATTATTCACTTCATTATAAAAATTTGAGTTTGAAAAAATAAACTCGACCTCAGCTTAGCTTTGTTGACTCATTTACAGCTTTATATATGACTATTTTTACATTACAAATTTAAATATATTTCAGGTACCACTCTTCCAACACATGGATGATTTAGTTCTAGAAAACATCTGTGATCGTGTGAAATCTCTAATTTTCACAAAAGGAGAAACAGTAAGTTGCTACTATTAATATTATATAGTTGCAATCTCAATTTAGGAATTTATATAAACAACTTGTTTTGAATTTTTCTTATAGATAACAAGAGAAGGTGACCCTGTCCAAAGAATGCTATTTGTAGTAAGAGGCCATCTTCAAAGTAGCCAAGTACTTAGAGATGGAGTGAAGAGTTGCTGCATGTTAGGCCCTGGAAATTTCAGCGGAGATGAGCTACTATCATGGTGTCTGAGGCGACCGTTTATCGAAAGATTACCACCGTCATCTTCAACCTTAGTAACCCTTGAGACAACAGAGGCATTTGGGTTAGAAGCAGAAGATGTGAAATATGTGACGCAACATTTTAGGTATACATTTGTTAATGAAAGAGTAAAAAGAAGTGCAAGATATTATTCTCCTGGGTGGAGAACTTGGGCTGCGGTGGCAATTCAGTTGGCTTGGAGAAGATATAAGCATCGGTTGACACTCACTTCATTGTCATTTATAAGGCCTAGAAGACCTTTATCAAGGTGTTCTTCTCTGGGAGAAGATAGGCTCAGACTTTATACTGCTTTGTTGACCTCACCAAAGCCAAATCATGATGATTTTGACTTTTGAAAATAATAATTATTATTAATAAATTATAAGCTATATATATGTATGGATTATGAAATTAAATTATTTTGTTTTGTAGAAAAGCAATTATGTGGTGGATATAAAGAAGTGCTTGAGTTTATTTGAAGTCAAATTTACAGAAGGGTACTGTAACATCAAAGTGATTATTGCTACTTAATTATGGTTATTAAAGAAATTAATTTACCAATGAATTCAGTGTTATTGAAATTTTCAAAATTCCACCTTATTAACCACATGATCAAGTCATGGAGTCGGAATCTTAAATTAGGAAAGATTATTAACATAATCGCTTTCTGATTGAAAATGGAATCAGTCTTTCATTCAATGTTTGAATATGGCAAGAGAAATGAGTATTATAATACATAGTAAGAGATTGGAAAATTAAAGGCAAACACTTCTTTCTTCTTCAGACAGTTAATTTGTCCAGAGCCTCTAAGCCTGTAAATTGGCTTGCCTCAGGATCTGGACCAGCAGAACCCCTAAAGAGCAAAATTGCAAGGCTTCCTATCTGAAAATGAATGAAATTTCCGGAGCGGTGAGTCACAAATGACCCAAAATCTGTTCCCACAATGCATTGCCATCCTGGTCCGTATGTCCTATCAAATTCCTGCATCAAAAAAAAAAAAAAAAAAAAAAAAATGCATCAAAAAAAAAAAAAAAAAAAAAAAAAAAAAAAAAAAAAAATCAATGAGCTCGAAAATTCAACATTTTATATTAAAAATATAATTATTAAAAGATTTACATAAATTTATAATCGCACATTTCCTAATTTTATTCGTTCATATATTATAAATTCAAGCCAATCAAAACTTTCATAAACCTCGATTATAAAATAAAATAAAATAAATCATATTCTTAATTTGACTATTCTTAATTTCATCCGTTTCATCTAAGAATAAAGTATTTAAACTGGAAATTCTCTCTTACAAAGTTAGAAGACTATCATTTTAGTTAATTAGGCTTGAATAAGAGTTTAAACTCATAGTTCCATAACCTAGAATATGACTGGCTACGTTTGGACTAATGTTATATAGAGTAATTTGCTTTACCTTTTTAATGAAACAGGCAATTTCAGTGGCTTCAGTGACATCAAAGAAATCAAGAGCTTTGGCTGCAAGATCAAGAGCATCTTGTTGCATCGTTTTAAGCATATCGGTCTCACCAATAACTGCTTTGCCTTCTAACATAGCTAATTAATTAGAAAGAAAGCTTTCTTGGAAGAAAATTTTTTGAGGTGGAGCTAAATTGAGATGTAATCTTGGTTGAATTGGAAGAAATATTACTGAGATTTATACATTGAGCATGGGATATTGGGGAATATGGGGGCTGGTGCTAGCGGGTCAGCCACGTCTAGGTTCTTGCTATCTTTGTGGTCAGTAACTAGTTGTATGGAATAAAACGATTGGAGTATGAGAGATACCCTTGGGGTTAAAGACTAGTGGACCATTTTTGATGCCAAATTGGCTCTATGTTACCACCATTGTTATAGCATGTGGAGGCACTAGCCTTGCTCCTAGAGGTGTGGAGAGATTTGATACTAGTCAATTGCTGCTAGGTTACAAAGATTCTGGGGCCCGTTTTATCTCGGACACGTGGTTCGTGTTCTATGGTTTTGTCAATAGGATTTCGCCATGTGTCTGGCCGGCAGCCGGAGTATTTTGTCTTGTTCTGTTGCGGTGTTGTTTTGTAAGAAAAGATTGAGATTGATGGATTGTGTTCAACGAAATTCATGTGTTTTTTTTTTTAATTGAATGAGATATCATTGTGTTAATTTGTTGGGTGTGATTCAAGTTATAAGATGAGATTTATCATTTCAAAAGGATCTTAAATTTAATTTGCGGTTTATAAGTGAAATTAAAGATCGATTAATTTGCATCTATTGGTTGTTGTTTAGTTGGTAATACAATCTGAGCATACGAGAAGAGTTTTCTCGGTTTGATCTCCACTAAACACATTTGACTATGACTAAGCCCTGAGTCAATTTAAGCAATCTCTAATAATAGGACCTGAATACCGACGTAATTTTATAGTTATGACACTTGTTTGGTGATTCAAAAGAATATACCATGTATCTCAATTTTGAATTTAACTAAGCTATTAAGTTGATTTAGGTCACAGTTTCGATCTTTCACAATATAAACTTCCTTTGGGCCAACCTCTTTACCTCCGAGAACAAACGGGAATTAGTCAAATCTGTGGACTGTTAAAATGGATATGGGCTGGATGCCTAACAAATATATATATATATATATAAAAGAACTAATCTATTAAGCTGAGGTCTAATATAAATTGTCTAATGAAGTATCTAAATGGTCCTTGGTCATTTGATGGGTGAACTGAACTGCGACGTGATTGAGAGTAGGTGGAAAGATCAGCTAGAAAATGCTTGTATGGACCGGCCAAATCCATAGAAAGGAAGACCTGTCCAGTCTGCTGTCCCAAAGTGAATAGTTTACCTATGAAATTAATAGCCTTGCAATTAAATTTGGTCAAGAAATGCAATTAGCCTTGCAATTAAACTCTTGTTTGGTACTGCAGAGAATTAAATTTTAATTAATATAAATATTTAAGTAAAAATTATATAGAAAACATTGAATTAATTAACCAATTACATATTTATTTAAATATGCGAATTGTGGGATGGCAATTGACAACTGTATCATTAAAAAAATATACAATTTTGACTCATAAAATATGTTTAATTTGACTTTTAATAGATCTAAAAGTATACTTAATATATACTTCTACAAAATTGTTGCTAATCTAATAATATGCAAAGTGTATCTTTCAACTAGTTTTTTATTTGACAAAAATGTAGATTAAAAAAAATAGGATTAAAAAAAGTATAAATGTTATCTTCTTTTCTTAACAAAAATAAAATTATAATTTGAGATCAATCAAGAAGATTTTTTAAAAAAAGAATGAATTATATGTAAAAAATTAATCAATTTAGCTAAGTTTCCTCATTTACTCAAGTTATAAATTTTTAATTTTTGAATATTATAACAAGAATAAATTTCAAGGCATTTTTGGTGTAAACCGCCCTTATCCAAAACCATAATCAGGGGCCGTCTAATTCGATTCGGGACTTATCACTCTTCTTTGCAAGTGCGTTTAATGAGGATCGAACTCAAAAACTCTTTTTACATGTCCAACTTACGTTGTCAGCTGAGCCATAACCTGTAGATGAATCTAACTCCTCTTTAACCTAAGATAATTTGGTCTAATAATTCTAGTGAGTGAAGCGTATTAGACTAGTCCATGCAAAATAAAATTGCGGAATCCTATTTTGGAGAAACTTTTAACATATATAATTACTTGTTGGTCCAAATGAGAGAATCTCTCGTGCGTGAAATGGGGATGAGAGAATGTATGTTTTGGTTTTTGATATAAATGAATTATCATTTTTATAAATTAGTTCCATCCAGACCTTTTAGTATTAGGAAACGACTTATCTACACTCGGTGTATGGACTCACATATATGCCAAACTAATTATGAATAATATTTGGTTTAAACAGGGTATTTCTGAAAAAAAAAAAACAAAAATAAAAATATTTCCTTTTACTAATTCACTTCGTTTCCTTTATTAGTGTTGATTAGTAATATTAACAATTGATTAATTAACTAATTGGTCACCAAATGAAAGAGACAAAGTAACACAAAAGAAAGGTACTAATTTTATATATCAGCAAAGCAAATCAAATCGCAGCAAACCACACTTAAATGCTGTATCCAATTCTATACATTTCTTTCCATGAAAGCAAACTCAATCATCTCCTTCCTCTATAATGTTTAATTAGCTGGATCTGTTCATACCATTTCCAAATCTCACTCTCTGACAACCAAACCAACCCACATCTGACAAACAACAACAACGTGTCACCGACACATTCGTGTCTCCGACGCAACTGTCGTCAGACAAATCCACCTGTCTGTCCCTCTCTTCTTCGTCTTCCTCCCATTTCCTTAACAAATAATCAAGAAAAAGAAATATTAAAAGAGAAAAGAAGACAAAGATACATATATAAATATCTAAATATAGAAATAGAATACATACAAAAGAGAAATATTCAACGACAAATCCTTCATTTTCTCTTCACCGTCCAACCTTTCTTTTCCATTCTTTTCCTTTTCCTCTTTCTCTTTAATCTTTCTGCATATCTCCTTCTCCATTGTTTTGATTACACTTGAATAATCTTTTTCTTATTTTCTCGATAAGGCGACAAGAGACCGGGGAATGGCACCGCGTCTCTTCGCCTGCTTTGGCAAATGCAATCTTGCCTCTCCTGACAATGGAAACGTTAGCAAAACCAGTAACGGGACGGCGGATGCCACGGTGGAGGAGCAACGCCGCGCAGGGGCAATTCTTGTGGAGCTTTTTTCTTCACAGGGTTGCGCAACGTCACCAGAGGCTGAGTTATTGGTGTCAAGGCTAGGGAGAGGAGACTTTGCCTTGGAAACGCCTGTAATTGTATTGGCATTTCACGTAGATTATTGGGATTATATGGGTTGGAAAGATCCTTATGGTGCTAGCCAATGGACTGTTAGGCAAAAAGCTTATGTTGAAGCTTTGAAGCTTGATACAATGTTTACACCGCAGGTTGTTATTCAAGGAAGGGAACAATGTGTTGCTAATGAAGAAGAAGCTCTTTTGTCTGCCATTATGAGTGCATCTAAGTTTCCTTCACCCTCATTTCAGGTTAGCTTTTATATTTCTTTCATTCTTTTATTTATGCTGATAAAATTAAACCTATCTTTAGCAACAAAATAACAGCTAAATACATAATTTAACCCGAATTTGGATTAAATTTTTTTTATCTTAATTTTTAAAACCGACTTTTTGCCATCTTAAATTTCAGATTTTGTAATAATTTTATACCTCACCTGTTGTAAACAATGATGTTTAAGATTTTTTCGCTTTTATATACAAAATATTGATTATAACCTTTTAAACAATAACTCTTCGGTATAATATATAAATTTGACTATCGACTTTGGTTAATTTTTATTGTCGCCCTTTGAATTTCGCAAGGTTCAATTATAACCTTATACTTTCATATTTTAATAATGACTATATCCGACACAAAAAAAGAAATAACTTTGCAATGATTCATGATCTTGCACTTCTACTTTTCATTTTGGCGAGAAGCATATATAGTTATTACTGAAATTTGAAAGTGCTGGATCGTGATTGAAATCCTGCAAAATTTAAGCGCCACAAAGAGAAATTGATCGAAGCTGAGAGTCAAATTTATGTATGAGCTAATGTTTTTTACATTTTTCAACTATCCAATAAATGTTTAATCTATCTAATTTTACAAGTTTAGATTCCAATGAATCAAATTAAAGTGTTTAGCATGTATAATTTTATAAATTAAGAGTTCATAAGAAAAGCAGTGGATTTTACAAAGTTTTCGGTACAAAATATAGAGTAAATTATGTAGTTATAACTGAATACTTATAATTGAATGGGTGTTGAATTTAACATAGGAATTAATTTCATAAAACTAAAATTGTTAAAGAAATGATTTGAATATTGATTTAACAGGCAACTTACGAAAGGCCAACACCAGAATCATTGCGAGTGAGTTTATCAGGAGCTTTAAGGAGTAAAGTTGACAGTAACGGTGCAAATATAATGGTAGCACTTTACGAGAATGGATTGGTGACTGATTGTCCAAAGGGAGAGAACAAAGGAAGAGTATTGTCCAACGACTATGTCGTTCGAAGGCTTGAAAAGATGTCTACTGTGAAAGATATTTCAGCTAAAAAAACAATATCAGGAACTGTTACTTTCTCTCTATGGGAAGGCTTCAATAATAGCAAATGTGGCATTGTTGTCTTTATTCAAGACAATTCTCATCAAATTTTTGGTTCTCAAAATTTTCAGTTGCCAAATGACGTTTAAGCATCCAGAATATTCTTAAATCAAATTTATATAATATTTTCTGGTTATTACAATCTTAATTAGGTCCTTATGATGTACAGCATCGATGAATTAGATATATTGATTTTATTTTATTTTCTAATTAAATGTTCTTATTGATTTTATATGAATAGGAAATGGAGGAGAATACATTTTTTTTTTTTTTACACTTTGATCATATGCATGATTTTAATTTCTTTTATTGGCATGGGTTTCTATTTCTTTTTTCTTCATCTAAATATATAAACCTTTTACTCTTTTTTTTTAAAAAAATTTTTGGTAAAAGGAAGATGAGATTGAGAAATAATTTTTTGTAGAAAAAAATTATTGGACGGAAAAAAATATGTAAAATATAGGCTTAAATTAAAATATATTGGCATGTCTTTTGTATTGCTCGGCTCTTTTCAAACAAGGTTTGTCACAATCCTCTCTTACACCAAAAGAAAAGTATAACTTGGGATTTTTGGGGGGGTGGGGGTTGGAGAAATTATTTCTTATCGAACGAACAAAACGGAGGGTTTGTGCTTATTGGGAAACAAAAAATATTCCGTTGCCGGGAATCGAACCCGGGTCTTTCGGGTGAGAGCCGAATATCCTAACCAACTAGACTACAACGGATTTGGCAATCGTTTGGTGATAAAAATAATTTCAATAATCAATTGAAGTGCATAATATTTTTCTAAATATTAATTCAAATTTCAATAACAATAATTTTCGTAATTTAATTGAGCATAATGAAAGTTAATTAAAATTTCAATTTGCATATCAATTGAGTTCAAATCATTATTCCTGCGAATTTAAAGGAATCATTTGTCACTTTAGTCAAATTATACAGTAAATAGGAGCCACACATTTCATACTCAGGAGCAATTGAATGTCTCCACAATGGTTCACCATCAATAATTTTATTATTATTATTATTATAATATATTTTTGACAAGGACCATCAACAATTTTATTTGAGCTGGCCTCTATTGGTGAAACCCACATACAATGAATTAACCTTAAAAGGACAAAGTACATGCCCCCACCCCACCCGGCAATTCAAGAACAAGATAATAGGAATTTGAACAAATAACAATAGGATTTGAGGAATAGAATATTAGGATTTGAGCAAGATCTCCAGCTATATATAAGATAATAATAGCATTTTAGAAAATGAGACCTCATAATAGGCTCATTCATACAATAAAAATGAAGGAATTTTATCCTCTTTTCCTAGAAGATCTTTGTAGGACAGGTGGTGATATTGATGCCTAGATTAGATGTAGGTTCGGTAAAGTAGGATAGGAACAGATCTAGCACCATTTTTAATCATTAGCCTCAACAAACCAAAACCGTGTGTCGAAAGAAAATTTAAAGCAGAAAAGGACCGAGGAAATAAAGGCATAGACGCGTAGCAATAACACGTATCCAAATATGGAACATTCCACAAGTAAAAGGGAAGGGCAATGCAAAGCACCAAAATGACAACACAACACATTTTGAGCGAAAATCAGAATAAAAAAAAAAAGGGGGAGAGACAAAGTAATGCAGGTCATTTAATATAAATTTACCATGAACAATGTTGTTGATCAAGTATAACTTCCAATGGACAAGGCTAAAAAACTGACAACGCTGGGCACCACATCCCTAAAATATACAAAATAAAGCTTATAGTATTTTTATTTATTTTCCTTATAAAACAAAATCCATTATCTACAGGGTGGGTGAGGCCCAAATCTTAAAACTTTGACCTCCATAATGATCTTCCAACAAATAATGGCATCACACCATTTTTTTTTTCTTTTTTAATCCAAAGCACCTGACAGCCACCTCGTTCTGTACTTTAGCTCGCTAGAAATCCATGAACTGAGGGGTCTAAAGACAACCTGCTAGAAGCAGTTACAGCAAGATCAATTCCCTTCTCATGTTGAATCTACCACCGCTTCAACCTTTTGTCGAGCCAGGTATTTTTCTCTCCGCTCTTTCTGAAGAATTGATATAATGAATTAAAATATGACAAAAGTTTAAAATTTGATTGAGCATTCCAGTGAAATTAGATAAGACGTACCCATTCATCTATTACAAGACCTTCACCAACAACTCGTGGTCCGGTGTCAGGTGGAGGTTTCTTCCGTGTTTCGACAGCAGCCTCAGCTTCAGCCAACTGACGCTTCAGTTTTTCCAATGCCTAAAATAAACCATCTCAAAATTTATTGCTATACATGATTGTTCAAATTATCAAAAGATGAAAACAAAGACGTCTAATTACTTACAGGACTAGGATGCTCTGCATCCAGAAACACAACCCGCAATATACGCTCAACTGTTACCTGATCTTTCTGTTCATCAAACTGCAAGGGGAGCATTCAGTTCAGGGTTAAAATCTCAGAAATACAGTATCACCAAACACAAGAGAAACAAAAGAAAATGGAATGGAATAGCAAGCATACAACTGAGTATTCATAAACACAAAAAGAGAAGCAAAAGAAACTAGAATTGAATATTTGTCTAGTTCTAATAAACACTAAAGATTTCCATGACATCTTTCCTAGTTAAACTGCCAACTAACGTCAATCAGAAAAGCTTCACAAACATCTAGCACAAAGACAGTTGAACACCATCTCTCAATTCCTGTAACCCAAGAGTATCTAAATTCCAACTCCAAAGTTAAAAGCAGAGGAAACAATGGCTGATAAATGTTTTTAACCAAACAAAGTGTATCAGAATAAAATCCCAGAACCTGGACAAGTTCATCAGCCATTCAGCCACGCTAGTCAATGGGTTTCCATTGGTACAAGGAAATTAAGATAAATTAAGGGAACGCTTTAAAATTGGGAAGTTGTCAATATGCTTTTATCTGGGGTTCTATGGAAGCCTGTAGGACCATGTCACGAATGATTTTGAATCATAATTTACAAATAGTTATACTCCTATTCAAAATTGTGCTGTCCATGTAAATGAGAAACACAATAATCGAGTAGCAAGAAATCCTACTTCTAGTCTACCAAACTTTTCTGCATATTTACAGAGGTATAGAAAATAATGGAGCAGGGTCTATGCTGAAATGCAGCAATTGCATTTGCTGACACTCATTTGACATCTTAATATGATGAAGATAGAAACCACGTAGTGTGCATGAAATTTGCCGTCTTTGAATTTAGGTAGTCAACATGAAACTTTTCCAAATATTAATACAATCTCAGTGAAAAAGTTCAGTATTGAGATCTTACTCCAATACTAATTTACTACCACACCTTTTGGTTGGAAAACAAGATCAAAAGCTTTAACATGAAAAGAGTATTTTTAAGTAACCAAAAATTACCCACATTGTTGAGATGATTTTAATTTATTTCAAAAACTTAAATATGAAAAAATAACCATGCAGAAAGCAATTTTAAGACAATATACATAATAGCAATTTTAAGACAAAATATCCATGCAGAAAGCAGGTTTGACCAGACTCACCATCTCAGGTACATATTCTAATCCTGGTTTCACCTTCAAACTCATTATCTTAAACTTAACCTTGCTCTTCTGGTCTATTACTTTTTCATTGTTCTCTGGATGCTCCACAAACTTGAATACTGTCAAATTAAAAAGCTAGATAAATGTCAAATTTTGCAGACCAATATAATAAGAGATTAATAAGGTGCAATGTTCCCAACTAAATTTGAAAATTACAGAGGAAAAAAAAAAACAAATCAAGTGTTTCTTACCAGTTGCAATAAGGCTCTCTCCCGGAGCAAGGATGCCACCTGGAGGACGCATGAAACAACTCTTTGGTGCAGTTGTTTGAAACTGAAATGAGATAGAGAAACCGATCAGAAATATTAATGAGGTTATGCAAGCGTATACCCTAGGAACAAATATAAATTCAGGTGTTCAAGCGATTGAAAAGAAATGAACAAGTCTATTGTGCGTCAAATTATACCTAAATAAACCACATCTTATTTTAGCAAAAAATTAAAAGATACATACAAAAGGTTCATTTCTCTCAAAGGTAACTATCCCACAGAAAATACAAATGGAGCAACAATAAAAGGCGTCATTAATTAATTCTGCTTTGTTTACCCAATTTTAAAATAATAAAAAAAAAAAACAAAAAACAAAAGATCCTCCCACCGTCCACATCCACATTATTTGAAGAACCCATAAACAGACAAGGACAAAAGTGATGTGATGCGAATTATGTAATGCAGCATAATGCCTTATCTTGCCTTAGCTAAAAAACCGAACTACTAAAATTATTAGAATAACACATTAACTGTTAAGTAAATATAATTATTCGACCAAACAATAAAATAAGTTAAAAATACCTTGAAAGCTACATGAGACCTGCTAGTGTTTTTTAACCTGATCGCACTCCTGACCTGTTTTCCTGGTTCATCTGCAAATCCAATGAATACAAAATAAACTCCAGTAATTACAAAAGTTTAAGAAAATAAATACAATAAAAAAGCATAAACCAAAATTGAGTTCTTAAAATAGAAAAAGAAATAGCAAACGTCCAAACAGAAAACGCTTATAGAACAGTACAGAAGAAGAAAGAAAAGTGGAAAAAAACAACATAAAACAAGTAAATTTGGAATATAGATAATCGAAAACTCTAATTCTTAAATTCTCTTCAAATATCATAATTATGAGAAGAACAACTAGCGTTGACCCAATAACCAAAAGTCAACGCGTAAAAAGATCGAAGGGCAAAACAAACTGATGACATACAGGGAAAGTAGAGTTTGTTAGAAGGGTCGAGACGGAGTCTCCGCCGAGCAGGGAGGAGAGATCTGGCAACAGACGACACCGTTCTAGCAGAAGATGAAGATTTCGAGCTATTATTAACCATCGCGTTGCGGTTACTGCTGTTGCCGTTTTGAGTATGGTTCAGGTTTTGCGTAGAAGAGGAAGAGGATAAATTGGCGCTTTGCCAAAACGGACATAAACTAAACATCTTCTTTTCGCTGTGTTGCCTTTGCCGGTCAGCGACAGCCATTGATGACCGCTTAACGAGCAACCACCGCAGCTTACTGTTCCACACTCTGTATCTCTCTAGAACTTTCTCCCTCTAAAAATACATTTACTTCTGAAAAGGCAAAAGATAAATATCTGTTCCGCGTTGGATATGAGAAATGCTGGAAAGCGTGGATTAGTTTGTTTTTTGTAAAGGAAAAAGCGTCTCTTCACGAGTTTTAAACATGGGTGTCGGGTATGAAATAGTTATTTGAATTTGATTTAAGTTTGATTTGGAGTCCGTGGATAGGGGTGGTTGTACGTTAGGACAAATGCGTAAATGAAGTGAAGATAGAGGGCAGAATTGGTAAGAAATGTACAAGTGGGTATGAGTGGGCCATGGTAATGTCGTTTTGGTGTGGTGGTATTAAATGATGAGAAGAGTAATTAGGTGAAGATTAATGTACGGCATTTACGCTTGTCGGCTAGGTTTGTTGGTATAGGTTAGTTGGGAGGTTGGAAATTAATTACGTTCTTTTTTTTTGTGTGAAATTTTAAAGAAATGATAATTGCGAGGTTAAAGAAATAGACTTACTTTCTACATATTTCAAAGCTATTTGACTTTTTTCTTTTTTTTAGTACAATGCCCATGTTACCCTTTTTCTTATTCTTCTTTTCTTTTCCAGGAGAAACACAGTACACGTACCATTGAGTACCTTTTGGATATTTCAGAAATCTGGAGTATTATTTTTTATTTTTTAGTAGTTCACTTCTTGTAAAAAAGTTTTAAAAATAATTTTATACATATAATTTTTTTTATTATGTACATTTTCAATAACACATAAGTAATTATTATATTAAAATAATAAATAAAAATTAATGAAGTTTATTAAAAATAAGATAAAATTTAATAAATAACAATGCCCATGTTAAACGCTTTTTTTCTTATTCTTCTTTTTCTTTTCCAGGAGAAACACAGTACACGTACCATTGAGTTAACCTTTGGATATTTCAGAAATCTGGAGTATTATTTTTTTATTTTTTAGTAGTTAACTTCTTGTAAAAAAAGTTTTAAAAATAATTTTATTACATATAATTTTTTTATTATATGTACAATTTTCAATAACAACATAAGTAATATATATTAAAATATAAATAAAAATTATGAAGTTTATTAAACATAAGTAATTATTATATTAAAATAATAAATAAAAATTAATGAAGTTTATTAAAAATAAGATAAAATTTAATAAAGGTATAATAAACAATTTAAGGATTAACTATAATGTAATGAATAAAAATTGACTATATTTTGGGATAAATTAAAAAAAAAAAATATGAACTATCTTTTTAGGACCGAGTAAGTATATATATATATATATATATGATGAAGATAATTTTCATTCTAAAAAAAATATGAAGATGAGTTTCAGTTGTATTTATATTGGATTTGAATGGTAGAGAATTTTAAGAGAGATGGAGATGAGCATAATGCTCAAGTTATTTGAATGAATTTATAAATATGTATAGGAAGAGAATGGAAAATAAGCAAAGAATTTTAATTGAGATGAGATTAATTTATGCTTGGTAATTTGAATAAATAAATACCACTAAAGAAGATTATTAAAAAAAAAAAAACCGTAACAGGATAAATTCTAAAATATGAGAAAAAAATAAATGTAAAATTAAGATATAAATACAATAATTTAAATAATGATTTGTGGTTTTACTAAAATTTATTTTCTATTTTAGAAAATGGTTCTTAATTCAAAAGAAGTGAATATTAATGATTAAATTCAAAAAAAGTGACAAAGAGCATTTGCGAGATTAATTACCATAGCTTAGATCACAGATTTGAGCTTCTACAATGTAAACTCCACCGAACCAATTCCTTTTATCTCTAATGGCCAACAAGGATTAATTGGACTTACTATGGACTGTAAAAATAAATACGAGTCTGGACACCTCGTGGAAATATCTAAAAATAATCAATGAATGAACATAATATCAGAAAATTCGGTCTGTAATAGCTATAGAGATTATAAATCTCAAAATAATATTAGTCTTATAAAAATATACATATGGATAATTTTAAGAAAAGCAATTCTTTGAATTTTTTTAAAAAATTAAACAATTATAAATTAACATATCTATATTGTTTATTTTCAAAGGAAAAAAATAGAAAACTTCCCTAAAAAAAAAAAAAGAAAATGAGAACAAAAACAACAAACGATACCTAAATAATAAATTTTAGGTAGTAATAAAGTAATAAATATAGAAAACCTATTTTTTTAAAAAAAAAAAAAACTCAATATACAAATCCAAAAAAATAAAATAAAATGCCAATGCAAATTCGAACAACTGTTTTATTTTTTTATTATAATCATTTTGTCCAAATTACTAACAGAAATTCTAGTTTGTCAATTTAATGTGTCAAATTTGATTCTGCATCTATAAATTTCCAATTGGTCATTTCCTAATGCAATTTTTTTATATATAAAAAAAAAAAATCTGAATTTCAAATTCGTATTTGAGATTTTTAGTTATAACAAAACTTTCATCATTGCAAATTTTTAGTTACAACACCAAAATTGCAAACATATATTATCTTCCTTTCCAAATCTTTCCTAATTATAATAAATACCCTTCTCCTAACTATGTAAAGATGCAACGTTACCATAATTATAACAACTTACAATAAAATACCGAGAAACAAAAAAAATATCAATTAGGTCCCCAAAAAATCAAGTGAAAGAGCATTTCAGCCTTCTCTTCTTCCCTTCTTCTTACTTGATCATCACTGCTCAGTGTCATTACCTGATTATTAACAGCAGATCCTCCAATTTTCCTCATACTATTATTGGACGGTCCAGATTCTTTAACCCCAATATTTCTCTTCTGCTCCATGGTTTTGAATGCCCTCTCTAACTTACACACTCTTCTATTGCTTCCCATATCTACTCTCTTAAAAATTTTCCGGCAAAATTTGCAGAGAAAATATATGAAGGAGGAAGTGAAATGGAACTTAGAAAAGAGTTGTGCATATCAGATCAGATAGCCGTTCCTCATGGATATATAAACGATAATTAACTTAAAAAAAAAAAAAAAAGCTAACCCGGGATATTAAAACCAGGGTCTGTGTATCTTGTTTTTGTAGGGAAAGTGAGGATTTTCTTGGGAAAGTGGTTTTGATAGAATTAATCTTAACTGTAGCTTATAGAGTTGTTAGTTCAGCTCCCAGATTTGTGGCAGCTGGTTTTTTAGTTCCAAGCTGCAATTAAATTAAATTAACTGGTTGTTTAATAATGCAAGCACGTGATAAAAATTGAAGGCTCTTTTGTGTTCGATTGTTTTAGTTTTAGGCGCACCGCACAGGCGCACACGGTTATAACGTAGATATTCGGAAATGTCTAAAACACCCTCGTTGCATCTAGATTATTTAGGTTTATACTTCATCACATCATAAAGCCTAAAAAAAACGAATAAATAGAATAAAATGAATGAAACCAAATCAAGAATAATCAGTCAAATGTATTCTGTTAATTTTGCCTATCAGATAAAATTTCTTTCTTTTTTTTTTTTGTGAAATCTTAAAATTTTCTTCAGTTTTTTTTTTTTTAATTTCTAGTTTTACTTAATTTAGTTTAATAAATTTGCCCAAAATCAAAATAAACCGAATGTTCATCCATAGATTCAATTGTAGGTAATTAAAATTCATGGGTACATACTTCATTTCCTTCCTTATGCATAACATGCCCCTTAAATATTTATAAAATTCAAAAAATAAGTAAATGGTAATTATTAATTTATTGAAAAGAAAAGATTTTCAATCGATAGAGAAGTCATAGTTTATTTAATAAAATATACAATAAATCATTGAAATATATAGTGGGATTCTTGGTTGGATTACTTTGATTTTTCTTTTAGGGCAAGTTATCAATAAAAATTCTTAGTCTAACTTATGCTTTTAGAAATTTTTTAAGAAAATAGTTACTATATTGTTTAGCCCTAATAATATATATTTTTTAAATTTACTTATAAAAGTTTCAGTAGATTAGAATAAGATTATAAACTATATAAAAAGAGTAATTCTTCCCTCTAAATAATATTGATTAGATTGATAATAACTTTTACAACAAGAGAATTCAAATTCGAAACCTTTTACTCAACACATCTTTTATTATACATTATATTGATTTTTTAATTTCATGTTGCTCTCTTTTAGTTTTCATCTCTTACCTTAAGAATAATTTTCTAGTTTTCTCTATATATAGATTTTTCTTATCAATTATGAGCATTAGGTTTTTTAAAAGTATCAAAGAAAACTTGTGGATTGAGTTTAGTTTCGCTTGATTTTGGTAAGTTTTTCTCGTTATTATTATTACTACGTAATAAAACAGATTTGATTGATGACAAAAAAAAAAAAAAAAAAAAAAAGTTGCGCCTTGAATTTTGGTACAGTTTTTTTTCTCGTTATTATATTAGCTACGTAATAAAACAGATTTGATTGATGACAAAAAAAAAAAAAAAAAAAAAACATCTTTTAAAAAAAAAAAAAAAAAAAAAAACCATCTTTTATAATACATGAAAAACTAATAACTTTAATCGAATAAACATGCTGGAAATTTATTTATTACTAACTTGTTTCATAATACTTGTCACATTTAAAAAAATGGTTTGTTTTAAGATACTAGTCACATTTGTAGTTGAAGGACTGATAAATATTTATTTCAATATTTACTCTTTATAGACGACTAATAATTATTACTTCAATTTAATGATTTTTTAAAAAAATTAATATTAAACTAAAGGTAATACAATCAATTAACTCAATAATTTATTATAATTTAGACAAATTTAATAGTTTTATTAAGTATAAGGACAAAGGAAAGAGAATAGAACAGCAATTCAAATATAACTTTTCGTGTGATGTAATGAACCAAAAAATACATCGTTGATTCACAATTTAGTCAAATATATTTGGAAGTTTTGAACCATATCATGCGTTGGGTAAGTTTAATGTAATATTGACTGCATATTTTATTACCTTTTTTGGTACAAAATCATAATATTCATTCATTTATCATCATTTCTCATTTGATTAGACCCCTCTGTTAATCTTCAATCTATTAAATTTCTAAAAGAAAATGAAAAATTCATCCATCAACAAACTGAAGTTGCATAAATTTCTTTCTTGCTTATATATATATATATATCAGACTCCGTTACCAGGGTCCAACTAATCTAGTTTGAGGTTTAGCTACAATTAAAGTTTTTCGTATTTTTTTACAGGTGTGTTTAATTAGAATTGAACCCGATAATTTTTTCCATATGTCTAATCTGCGTTGCAAACCGAGTCGTAATCCAAAACGTAGATGAATTATATATATTATTAATATTAAGTACTATTATATTACCAATAAATATTTTTCCGTTTTTGATTTAGCAGTCAAGATACGGAATTCAGATCGACTTGTCCTCCCAAATAATTTGAAAATTTCATGTGTCTACGTTACAAAAAATACTTCACCTACCTAGTACTAAATTATGACTTTTCTCTCGCCGTATATATTGTTTGTTTCCTATTTAATTAATAAAAAAATTTAATTAATGATAATATAATAGTCTGACTGCAAATATTATTGACTTTCAGAAAAAAAAAAAAAAATGAAAGGGATGAAATAGTGAAGTAGGACGAATATTACGGACTGAGGAAGTTTCTTATATCAATATTAATAAAATACATATTGATTTAAACATATAGAATTATTAGGCTCTATTTTGAAAAATCTAGTTTGACTGTGATAATCCAACTGAACTTTTTATTATTAATTTTTACCCCCAAAATTTATATCCAATCATTTTTTTTTTTTTTTGAAAAAGAGCGGTAGTTTACTTAAAGTAGAATTCAATTAAGAGATTTCAAATTCAGAACTCTTTTTTTTTTTAAATAAATATCCACAGTATATATATTATTAATCATTTTATTAATAAAAATTAAATTTAAACAATCTTTTTTTTTTTTTTTTTGAATCTTTTTTTTTTTTCAATCTTTTTTTTTTTTTTTTTTGAGAGTTTAAACAATCTTTTATAAGATGTAATTTGGAACTGAAAATTTTTAACTAGCAGTTTCTTTACACTTAAACATTTTGAGTTTGAGTCGGGTCGAGATTGGCCCAACTAGCAATCTGGCTTGGGTCCAGCCCATGCTTCTATCTCTGTTTGCACTTCACAATAACGGCACACAAGGTTATCAAATTCGTTTCCAGCGGTCCACAAAATCGAATCATGAAATGGTTGGATTTCGCAAACCATCGAAAACGATACCGCTTTACACATATTGAAAATACAATTTACATCAGTTTTAATAATATTTGTTCGCTTATTTTTACCTAATAAACCATATTCACAACATTAACCGTAAAAGAACTTATGTATATTAGTGTTTAGAATTTTAAGCGAGATAGAAATTACTATTTTGAAGAATTTTACGATTTTAATGAGATTTTATGAAATTACTATTTTGTAATTTTTTTTAATATGGAAATCGTAAAATCATACGAGTTTAATCAGACAAGGATTAATTGATCTCTCTCATTCTTTAACAAAATCAAAATTTACAACTCAGTCCTTTGACCACATTTCTCATTTAATCATCTAAAATCTAATAGTGCTTGGACCCAGACAGCTCAAACCCATAACTTTCTCCATCGAAGCTTCCTGCTTCTTCTTCTTCTTCAAATCACCGTTTCTAATCTCACTCGCCATCGAAGAAGAATACTCAGATCCAGAGCCAGAAGAAGAAGAAGAAGAGGAGATCGTTTTTGCTGAAGCGAAAGATCTAATATTATTTTTGAAATGCTGTTGAACTGATCTCATAGGATAATTCCATCTGCAAATGCCTTGATCTTTTAACGCCTCCACTGCGCCGATGCTTGCGGCTACAATCCAAGCTTTTGTTGTTGCAGCGTTCATGTCTTCTTGACTTGCTGTAATTGGATTGAAGAAGATGAGATGAGTTGTTGATTTGGAAAGGGAAAGGGTTCGGTGTGTTTTATATAGTGGGTAAGTGAAAAACCGGTGGCAGTTTGGTGGCAGTTTTACCACGGGAAGGAAAAAGAATCCATGGTTTTGTTTATATTTATTTATTTATTAATAAAAAAGGCACGTGTGTTTTGCTTTTTCCCAGGCTGGATTTTAAAAACCTGGGTGCTTAGGTGTAACGTGTAAGCTTAAGGAAAGCGGAGAGAAAATGGAAATTGACGTATAAACAAATAAGGAAATTAGTTTCTTTTTCCTTTTTAATAAAACCAAAGGGAGTCACTTTCCTCAGCTTTGTACGTTGTTTTTATAATCAGCTCTCTTTTTTAAAATAAAAAAAAAATATTTTTCATGTAAATTATTTTTCGAAAATAAATAAAATCTTATTTATTTTTCATTTATGATTTATTAATACTAACCAATCATGAAGTATGAGAACGTTATTTATTTTTAATTTAATTGTAAATTTTTTAGATGATTTAATGGTAAGTTTTAATTTTAATTAATAGAATGAAGGATAACTTTTCCATTTGCAAATTAAATTAGATTTTCCTTTTTTTTTAAAAAAAACAAATTATATGAAGTTTCCTTTTTTTTTTTTTTTAAACAACAAAAAATCCTTGACATTTAGATGTAATTTTTATGTGGGAAGTTTCCTCTTTTCTTTCTTGGCATAAAATCTATATATTTGTTCATGTACCCAGAAAAAAAAAAAATTACATGTGAAGTTTCCTTTTTCTTTATTTTTATTTTTTTGACAATATGAAGTTTCCTTTTTTTCTTTTTTTTTTTTTTTTTTTTTTTTTTCCTTTATTTTTATTTTTTTTGACAATATGAAGTTTCCTTTTTTTCTTTTTTTTTTTTTTTTTTTTTTTTGATAATCATATAGAGGGCCAAATAGGTTTGATGATGAGGTGATTCGAGTCTTTTTTTTTTTTTTTTTTTTTTTTGATAATCATATAGAGGGCCAAATAGGTTTGATGATGAGGTGAATTCGAGTCAAATATTATAAATTTATAATACTCATATTCAATTTGTCATTAAAAATTAATATCTATCCCGTATCAAAACAGATCAAATTAATATACAACGGAAAAAAAATTTAATTTAAAAAAATTAATTAAATCAGATCGATGTATATTCGTATCTAATCTTATCTTTAAATGAATTAATTAAATTTAACCAAAATTACTAATTAATCGAATTTAACTGAAATTTATTATTGAAATTCTTTTATCATCTATTTAATAAAAGATGTAGTTTTGTTGTCAGTTAATTTAAGTAAATTTGGTTTAATTAGTTTTAAATTGAACGTTTAATCAATAATTGAAAATAAAAAAAAAATTTTATAAACCATTAATCACATATTTATTCAAACTTTAACCTTAAAAAATAAAATCGGACCCTCTCTTTCTTTTTATTGTAGTGATTCTTGCATTAACAATTAAAAAAATTCAAAATTTGCATAATTTCATTTGCAATTTTTTAAAAATTTTAATTTGTACTGAAATTTAATATTTCATCCGTTCCACTTTAATAGCAACAAATAAATGTTTATTCCACTTTAAGTGTTCATTCCGAATTTTGACTATATTAATTTTTTTTTTTTCAATTTGTTCCACATTTATTAAATGTGATTTATTTTATATTTACATTTTAAAATGAAAATTTAAATATTATATTATGTATTTTTAGAATATCAACGAATTCCAATCATTTTCTTAATATTTGTGAAAATAGCAAATGTTGCTATTAAAGTGGAATGAAAAGAGTAATATCTAAAAACATCTGTATGTAAGTTATTTTTCATTAAGCAAAGTATAATTTTGAATTAATTAGATTTTAATTTCTCATTAAAAGAAATACATTGTTATGTATTTCAAGAATTCGCAGAAAATGGCCTATATCAGTGAATTTAATTTTTTTTATTATCGATGAAACCCATTCTAATTGATTTGGTTTAAGTTCTTAAAGATCACAAATTATTATTTTAAGAGAAATTACAAACTGCATTCAAGAGCCAGTAAAGGTTCCAACTTCAATAGAAGTGGAGAGAAAAAAAAAAAACTACATCAAAATCTTATTGTATTGGGACCCCAACAGCCTAAAAGCATAATTTTGTCAAAGGATTTTTCTAATCTCTTGAGCTTAACATCTCTCATTTCATTATTCATAGTTGAAGCCAAAGAAGAATCAAAAAAAGAAAGAGAAGAAGGGATTCTCATACTGTTAATTACATGTTTTTCTATTGACCTTATAATAAAATTCCATCTACAAATTCCTTGATCTTTCATTGCCTCTACTGTTCCAATACTAGCTGCCACAATCCAAACTCTACTTGTTACACTCATAATTATTTCTCTTCTTCTTCTTCTTCTTCTTCTTTCTGTGATATGAAGAAGAAGAAGAAGAAGAAGAAGAAGAACTGAAGAAGAATTGCAGAGGGTCCTCTTTATATAGGCAATTAGGTTGTGGTGTTATTGTACAAGGTTAAGTGAGTATCATTGGGAATATCACCCAATTATTCAGGAAATGACAACAATTATTTGTGAACCAAAAACCTTATGCCAAGCCAAGCTGCATTGGTTTTACCTTATGCCAAGCCAAGTTGCATTGGTTTTAGGTTATGGGTTATAGGACAATGGACACAATACATAAATTCACCCGTAACTTTCTTATTTAACTTTGTGATACTCTAAACTTTTATTTTGATTCATTAAACACTTTAACTTGTAAAATTACATCTATTGAACATTTTAATTTTCAAAATTATTTTATTGAATACTTTAACTTGCAAAATTAGATTAACTAAGGACTTGTTAAAAATTTAAAATTTATGAAATTATTGTTCCAAAAGTCATGCTAACTACATATCAAATTGATTTTTACAGATAAAAGCTAAAAACCTTGAAAATTATGATATTAGTGAATTTATATATTTAGTAAAAATGTGAAATATTATCAAAATTTATAAATTTAACTGCATAACATGCCATCTGCAAAATTGAGAGTACCACAAAATTAAAATTTTAAAGTACATCGGTGAATTTATATATTTAGTAAAAATGTACAAACTTATGAATGTATATACATACTTGGGAATCATTTATTGACATTGAGAGGTAGAAATAGCAAGATAAGGATGGACTAAGCTTTGCTTTCCCTTTCTTTAGGAACTAAAAAATATGAAAATAATTAAGGGAGTAACATCAACTTAATTATAGTTTAAGTTATTCATAAATAGTTTAATGTTTCAATAGATGATGTCCAATAATGTAATATTGTTTAGTGGAGAATTTTGTATTTGGGGTTTTTGAAGTTTACGTCATGCTTGAAGGTCACAGTTTTTGAATTCAATAGAAAATTTTACCCCAATTCACCTAATTTATGCTTGATGATCTGCTTAAATTCGAATGGTATTCAAAATAATCCAAATCTGATTGATTGGAAAAAAAAAAAAAGTTTGATCTATTTGACCCGATTTAAAGTAATAAAAAATTAAATTTATTTTTAAATTTTAAATTAATTTTTTAGGGCAAAAAAGGTCTAAAAAAAGTCTTAACTTTTCAAAGCTTCTAATGGTAATTGCTATGCTGGAAGAATCACCGGCTCTTGCAGTACTTCAGCTGGACGCAATCGGAATACAATGGACTTTCGGACACGGGTGTTATAAAAAAAAAAAAAAAAAAAAACAGGCTGGGACCCGCAATCGCGGAATACAATGGACTTTCGGGACACGGTGTTATAAAAAAAAAAAAAAAAAAAAAAAAGAAGTTTCTAATTTAAAACCGGTGGTGTGAAAAAAAAAAAAAAAAAAAAGAAGTTTCTAATTTAAAAACCGGTGGTGTTGTGCAAAACCAATGAGGCCTCGACTGTTCAAACCTGACCCGGCTGCTCGACTCAGGGCTAACCAATTGGGTCAACTAACACGGCCCACTAATGTGATTATTGAAAGCAAAATAAATTATTCTCTGCAGAAGCTCACTGTTTTTTTTACACGATATTCTTATTTTTGTTAAATTACAAGAATAATACATAAATAAAAAAATGACTCATGAGAATAAAAATTTAATTTTCCAGAATTAAATATTTATGCAAAAAAGAAAATGAGGAATGATTAATACATATAATAGGCTTTTGTTTATTTATTTAAATCTTTGGGTGTCTTGAACCAAAATATAGCCATAAAAGTAAATTAAGAAACATGAAAAGAGCAAATAAAAAGCGATAAATTGAAGATATTTGGTAGAAAAAGGTGCTTATATTCAACTTAATTTACAAAAATTGAAGGGTCTAAATTCAATTGGGACCCCAACAGCTCAAATACATAACAGTTCTAAGAGATTCCTCAGATTTTGCAGTTTTATCATCTTGAAATTTCTTGGACAAAGCAGAAGAAGAAGATGAAGAAAGCTTCTTAGCCTGAGAGTAAGATCTAAGATTAGCCTTTGCATGGTGTTGAATTGCCCTTAACCCATAATTCCATCTGCACAATCCTTGATCTTTTAATGCTTCCATTAATCCTATGCTTGCAGCCACCACCCAAGCTCTGCTTGTTGAACTCATATTTTTCTTTTGAAATAAATGGAAATTATACAAAAATAGGAGGAAGAGATGATGTTTAGTTTAGGAACTTAGGAAGAGAGACTTGTTGGTTTTTGGTTTGATTTGGGAAAGTGGGTGAGAGAGAGGTCTTAATATATATAGAGAGTGTTGAAAAAGAAAATGAAGAAAATGACAAACAAGTTCAGTGGTTTTAGTTTTGGAAATGTAAAACCACGAGTGGTTTTGCATATAAAAAAGGGGGAAAAGCCAATTGTTTTGTTTTGTTATATTTTGTAAGGAAAGGTAATATGTGACATTGAATGGAGACTTTATGTTTATCTTTGTGAGTGACAAAAATGTATAAAATAAGTGATGGTGAAGGGATAGAGAGAAAATAAAGAGACAATGGAGATGATGCTGTTGGATAGCGTTTTAGTTTTTTAATGTTTAATGGACACATTATTAGGAAAATTACAACCGTATCTTTATATTTTGTTAAAAAAAACTGCCATATCCTTATATTTTGAATCTCTTATATTAGGTTACCCTTCTATCTAATATTACTAATTTTAATATTAAATACTTGTGAAATGACATGATTGACCCTGATTTTAGCTTTTCCAATCTCTAATTTCCCTCCTCCTTTAAAACTTTCTCAAAACCCTAAATCTCAGTTACTCACCGCTTCAAATCCCAGAAACTTGAACAAAAGTCTTAAGCTTGCAATTCCGAAAATTCAAACTCAAACGAAGTCACTCGCAAGTAGTTTACCTACGAACATTCATATAAGGATGAAGAGAATATGCTTCCATGTGTTGTTACCTTGAGATTCCAGCAAATCGTTTCTTAAGACCATAAAATAATGAATCATAAACCAATCAATCTATTTTTGTCAGTCATTTTGCTTGTTTCTGTTAGTTTTTTAATATTTAAGTTAAATCAAGGCAAAAGATTTAACATTCTAAATTATGGGAATAGAGAATAAGTGAGAACTCGTTTAAAAAACGTAAAATTATGGGTTTTTAATAATTTGCTTTGTCATCATTGTCTCACCGGTTTCGTCTCCTTTCCCTTCTCTGTCATTGATTTCTCTGGTTTCTAATTTCTGCTTTTGATGATATGGTATACTGCAAATAACATCAGATGAATAGTTGCTAAAGGACAGTGAAAAGGAGAGAGAAAGGAGGAAGAAGATGGTATTTTGGAAAAAAAAAAAAATCATTCTCTTTAGACCGTCAAGTTTTCATTTGACTTATAGTATAAAATCATAAATATTGAACGGAAGGACAACGCAGTGTAACCGACTCAAAATAAGAGTGTATATCAGTGTATTTTAAAAAAACAAGAGTAAAGTAGTTGTTTTTATAAATTATAGAGTACGATTATAATTTTCCCTAAGTTTAAACAAAAATCAAATCAAGTCAATTTTTGTATAAAATTAAATCTGTTCAAGTGAATTAATTAATCTTTATGTTTTTTAATAAAAGCAAAAAATATTTATATTTCTTTTATTTCAAATATTATTATTATTATTATTATACTCAATTTTATATCTTCTTTTATTTCAATATTATTATATATATTATTATACTTCATTAAATATATATATTATATATATATATATTATATATATATATATATATAATATATATTGGATTGTAAAATAAAAACCTAATATATATGATGTAAATAAAACCTAATTATCCTCATTTTGATTTTTGACTCCAATTCTAGGAAGTTGAATATTTTGTTACACTCCAATTGATTAAGTGAATTTTCTTTTTCCCTCAAAGGAGGGATTGTAGAGAGTAGATTTGAATAGAGGGAATTTTATGTACATGTTCGCTAAAAACTTTTGAATTTTTGAATTGCCTTTTAGCATTATGATTAAGTAAAAACTCTATGTCTATTAATTATCGTATTAAGTAATATAATTTTTATAATTGTTTTTGAAGGCTTAGTGAGCTTTTTAAACATTAAATGATTCTGTTAGTAACATAATTTTTATAATAGTTTTTAGAAATCGATTAAATAATTCTATTTGTAGTTGGTTTGCTGTACAAATAGTTTGGTGTATAAATGCACCCGATACATAGCAAGTAGATAAGTATTTCCTCTCCGATGATAAGAGGATAGGAATTAGAAAAATTAAGTAATATTAATTCATTACCATGTTCTAAATATTCTTAATCAAAACTGAAATGGCAGCCATAAGACTAAAAGCTACACATATACATAAAGAAAGAAAAATTCTCATATATACAGAATTAATACATTCAATACAAAATTGAGAGTAACGCAAGGATTCAATTAGGACCCCAACAACTCAAATACATAACAGTTCTAAGTGATTCTTCAGACTGTTTCAACTTCTCATCTCTCAATCTTTTAGACAAAGCAGAAGAAGAAAGAGCAGAGAACATATTTTTAGGCTGATTGGAATAATAAGACTTGACATTATTCTTTGCATGTTGTTGGATAGACCTTAGTGCAGAGTTCCATCTACATAGTCCTTGATCCTTCAATGCCTCAACTACTCCTATACTTGCAGCTGCAACCCAAGCTCTGCCTGTTGAACTCATTTTTGCTTGTTATAACTGTGGATTGGAACTGAAACCTGTTTGATATGTGAGATTTTTTGTTGGATTTTGATTTGGTGTTGCTTATGGAGAATGGTTTCTTTTATATATAGGGAGGAGAAGGTGGGCTCTGTAATAGAATAATAATAAAGATAGATATGGGAGATGTATAATAGCAAAGTTTTTGCCAATAGATAAGGGAATTGCCAATGGTTTTTGGTGGTGGTTTTAGTAAAACAAGCTCCAAGAGTCCAAGTATTTTTATATGAGACAGTGAAATGACATCTAATAAATAAATAAAAGAGACTATAATAGCAAGTGGGGTAACTGAAATTTGTTATTTATCCTATATATATATATAAAATCAATTACACACCTCAGAAAAGAACTCAAAGAATATTTACATGGAATTCAAAGTTTATTGAATTTTATCAATTAAGTCATTGATTTTTTATTTATCAATATTGAGTCTTTGATTTTATTTTTTGTATATCAAAGGTCAATAATAATAATAATAATAATGATGATGATGAATTTTGTATATCAATACAATAATAATAATGATAATAATAACAAGCATCATCAAATCTTTACTAATTAAATAGTAAAACTTTGGGATTAAATCTAACAATAAAAACTTTTGTATATCAATACAATAATAATAATGATAATAATAACAAGCATCATCAAATCTTTACTAATTAAATAGTAAAACTTTGGGATTAAATCTAACAATAAAAACAATTGCAATTTTAGAGACATGATGGGTAATTTAAAGCGCCACAGGAATTTGTTAATATACCATAATAATGAGGTTGATATATATATAGAGTTCCATTCCATGATTATGAAAAATTGATTTTCTGGTGGGGCTGTACATTGCGAACTAATAGACACAATTCAGTTATAGCCTACAGCCAAAGCAAAAAAAATTAACATGTAACCAAAATCAATTCTCGAGAAAAAAAAAAAATGTAACAAAAATCTAAGGCTAGTCTGCAAAAAGCAAATATAGGAGAATGTGTTTGGTGTTCAACTAAGCTGAGAGATATCAAAATCATCAGGAAATTTGAAAGTGTCAGCTGCTCCAAACTTTCTTCGCTCTTCCTTATCTTCTAAAGATTCATTGTCTTCGTCACTGGAATTATTATCGTCCTCATCATGATCATTAGTAGGTGAAGCCGGGTCATTTATACTTCTGGATTGGCATGATGGGGTTGCAAGCATGGCTACTTGGCCATGGTTAGAAATTTCCACGACGACTGTGTCATCATCAACAGGAAGCGGTTGTTTCCAAGGCTCCCCATCAATTCTCATGAATGTATGGTCAGCTGCACCCTTACGGAACTCAAAGCGAATTCTACTTGCCTACAGATAAATAGAGTGAGCTAGAAATGTCAGCTTCATGATCAGAATGCAAAAGAGATAGAATTGGAATCACTTACAATATAAAAGTCTTCTTCTTATAGCAAATTATATATATAATTTTTAGTAGTACTTGAACTTTGATAGGTTCAGTAAATGTGTTTTTAGTAAAGAGATCCTATACTGACTTCACTTTCAACCAAAATTAAGCTTTAGACTCTAAATCAAAAGTTTCAATATCTTTTTTGCTGAAAAAAAATTAAATTGTTTCATACCTGTGCAAGACGAGTCCCATGACCATTTGGAGCCAGCAGAACAAGCCCATGCCAAGCATTTCTGAAACCAACAACCTCAATAAGGCCATCATCTACGTATGGAGGCGTCAAGTCCTTCTGTGAGAAGAGGATTTATCCAGAGTTATTGACAAATGCATTCATAAGAAATGCTGGTGATCAGAACATAGCTACTTTATTCAAGTCATGAGGCAAAAGCAAGTGCACAAGAGCACAAAAGAGAGAGAGAGAGAGAGAGAGAGAGAGAGAGTGAACTCACATCATGCGCTCTCTTCCCACTAGGTTTTCCCCAAGGATTGAGTCCTCCAGAAAAACTGGGCAAGTTTAGGCAAACAATAGATCTGATGCTGTATATTAAAGAAAAAAGTATCAGAGGAATGAGGCTTCAAAGTGTGCTCGGAATTGGAGTGTTATATAATGAATGCAATACAGCAACATTTGATTTAGATAGCTGTATCATTTCACAATTAAATTGTGATCTCTCTTTCATAAAATCCTAAGCCCAATTGACTCTCCTCAACAGCTAAGCATTCCTCACTCTACCAAAATTCATCTATTCACAAATGAACTTCATAATTTCTATCAAAGTATTCAATTGACAAAAGTGATACTCCTAATGTTGAGGGAGAAGGGTGAGAACTGAGAAGACGGAGGGCTACATAAAGAATCATTCATCACCTGCTAGGTATGGTGAGGTCCTCCCATTGACCTTTGCTTTTCATGACTCTAACCTTTGTAAGCTGTGCTATGTTCCTGCATCAATTTAAAGTCATTTATCTTGGATATGGTCAACCAAATATGATGCCAATAAAAAATATGAACATTGAATCCATAAACCTCAAGATGTCTATGCCAGCAGAACAAAAATTTAAATGGAGCACCGACCCTTTCAAATGATAATGTGTAACAATTTCCAACCTGGGTGAAGTTCAGTGGCAGCATTCACATGGCTGATCACATTTCTTTTTTATTTAGCTTAGTTAGTTAAGTTTGGTAGACATATGCTAAACCACCAGATTATAATCCATGTAGCATTGCCATTAGCTATAAAGCTCCAAGTTGAAAAAACTTGCACCTAAAATATGACTCTACATAGTTTGGATTAACTTGTAGCTTTAACTTGTTAAATTGCCTCCACAGAATGAATAACTCCTTTGCAAATCTTAGCATTCTTGCCAAAAATTATACACAAGCAAAGTAAAATTATACACGAGCAAAGTAAATGAAAATTTGGCCACAAGGTGACCATTAACCAGGCACACTATGGGGACCACAGATTTACACTGTGGCCATAGCATTGCCACACCACTATAGCAGTCATCAGATTAACATTCAGAAAACAGGAGCAGACTAGAAATCAAGAGGGGAGAACAGAGTCACTTTCAAGAAACAAGTTACAGTTGTTTCTCTACATGTCAAAAGGCCAAATTAATTTATCCCCAATAGAAAAGACAAGAATAAAATCTCAGCCTTGTTGCTGTAATGCAGAGACATAGTCTGACAATTAAATCTGTAATGCAAACCTAAGATCCATTTGGACTATGAAAATGCTCAAAAAAAAGAAAAAAAAAAGATTATAACCAGAAAAGGAAACACTGTGAAGTGCATGAAAAACTTAGTACACTGCCACATGCTCAGAGAATAAGATGCATTATACGACATCAAAATTCTCAAACAAGAGTTTACCAGAAATTTTGAATTATTCACTATCACAGCTAGGGGTGTAAATGAGCCAAGCTGAGCTTAAAACTCGGCTCGAAACTAGACGAGATTAGAAATTTTATGCTCGAGCTCGACTTGAGGCTCAAGCTCAATTCAAAAAATTTTCAATTCGAGGCTCAAGTAAGCCTAAAATAAATATTTTCTATATGCACATATAAAAGCTTGATAAGGCTCGTGAGCTTTCAAGCTGAAAGTCATTAGACAACGAGCCGGCTCGAGCTGAACTTTTTCAAACTTCTTTCAACTCAAGCTCGAACAGCTTGCAAGTCGGCTCAGCTCATTTATAAACCCAGTCATAGCTATCACATTATCACCAGAATCCCTTGAAACCCTCACTCTTATTACATTTGCATGTTCAATTTCAGAATAACAATCATAAACTTCTTTCACAAAGTTTTAGATCTAACTCCTAAAAAAAAAAAATGGAACTACACCAATGAAATTGGAAAAAAAATTATGACTGCTGGTCCAAAAATAGGACAAGGAACAAAAACATTTGCTGTTTCCAAAAGCGAGTCAAGTAAGCTTATGATTTTAATATTTTTGCTGTGTATAAACTTAGAACATATCTTCAAGCATCATGATATCATATTATCTCGTATGAGAAGGGTGTAGCATGCTCCATGACCGTATCCAGAGCATGAACCAAAAATATTGTGTTTTGGTAGCTTCAATTTGAATCAATCAAATCAAAAGGCTATTGGTTGGATAAGTAGTTCAGCATGATGATTTGTACAAGTTGGGAGGAGGGAATTCAGTCATTCTATAAAGTGAACTTGAACTTTTTGATCTGATAAAAATATCAAGGAAAACAATTTTGAAAGAGAATCAACAAACCGTCAGCAACAGCCATGTCCTGGAAAGTAAACTAGAGTTTTCATTGAGGTAATGAACAATAACACAATAAACAGAAAAACAAAACAAGAGCTACTTCCTATTAATTGATATAACTAACTAAACATACGAAGAGGAAAGACAAGTTATCATTAGCAGAAGAATCTTCGACCATGTAACAAGAGACTCACCGTGAAGAAGGATGAAAAAGAGAGGCACAAAACCATCCTTGAGTACATCCAAGCTTTAAATAAGTACTCTGACGCAACCAGAAATAAAAGAACAGCAATAGGTAAACAAGATTTTGGCAATGATTTTAATCAAGGAAAATTACCAGGAGCACAAACAATCTAAATCAGTTCAGTAAGATAAACTTATAATGATAATTGACATAAATAAAAAGTGGTAAGGAACATAACATTATACTTAACATTATGTACTAATACTTCCACAAAAGTTACAGATCCATATAGTTCCTTCATTTAAGATGACGGACTGATAGTACATATACATTTAAAATGAAGTTTAAGATCAGTTTTCCCTGTCTAATTTCCAATTCACCTTCTAGAGAATTGGTTGTATAAATAAGACAAAGTAGAAGGAACAAATTATTTCCGTGATTGGAAATTTATACAACTACATGTACAAAATGGAGAGTTCAAATATGTGTGTGGTAATATATAATAAATTTTCATCTGCAAAATAAGCAATATTATAACATGTATGACAGTAGGTTTACTAATTGATTCTACCAAGTTTATCAAATCCACCCCCTCCTCCTGCTCCAACTCCACCGCCACCATCACTGCCCCCTCCACCCACTATGTAACCTTCAAGAGGCATCTGCCGATAATTCTTAATAAAATTGCTGCGACATAATACCAGTTCATACTAGCCTATATTCTTTACAATGATTACTGAACATCTATCATATCTACCATAAACACTTAATTATCCTGGAAAATAAAGACAATTAACAATGACATCATGTTAGCATACTAGAAACAGCTTAAGAATATTGTTGTCATTATTTTCACATGTTGCTGATTTAAATAAAAGCAGTAAGAGGACCATCTACAGTGATGAATTAATATTCTGATCCTTTGACGAACTGTGAACATTGTATATTAATTAGATATGTAAATTCCAATTTTCACAAGACTAACATAAAGGAGTGAAACATAAATAAGAAAGGGTAAGATCATTCCTGATAAACAATCTGTGACATGAAATATTCGATACAATACCTGATTCACTAGTTGATTCTTAAATTTTTCTGGGTGCAACTTCCTTTCAGAGTGAAAGGCATATGATACTTGGGCGTCCATTCCTGTACAAGATAAAATATGTCACTCATGCAAGTTTGCAAGAAGAACAATGCTACTTGCTATAGTTAATGTGTCTGGCTGTTTGCTATGCCTGCCATGTTAGAATGATAGTGTAACATAATTGATATCAATATTTTTGTATATGTGTTTCAAATTTCCCCTTTTTCCAAATCCACACATTGCTTCAAGTATGGATGGTCTAGTGGTCTGTGGTCCTCTTTTACATGCATGCGAAAAATTATGAAACATTTGCATTAATTTCTTACCCATACTGAAATAGTTCCAAAACCCCCCACGAAAAGTGTGGTAACCTTCCTGACAAAAGCCAAAAGAAAATTTGCAAATAAGTAAATCGGTGTTTCATGTGAAGTAAAAGAAATATCGCGACGCTAAACAGCCTCATCCACTGTAACAGAAAATTCAGGAATTGCTAGGTAAATCAAACAATATTAAAATGCCTCATGGGAAGCAAAAACAAACATCATTACAAGAAAAATAAAAATGGATGATATAGAAGCTGAGATTGACATTGAATTATTCAATTCTGTTCCTACAACTAAGCTTGAGTTGCAGCTGTTAATAGGCATATAGATCAACTAGATACTAACATAATCATTTTCATTTTGGCTGGATGGTATCAGGGCTGTGTCAGGAGTTATTTTACTTTGCTTTTGGAAGTTAAAATAGATGTATAACTTGAATCAGACACATACAACCTCACACAAAATAAAACTCCACAAAACTCACCATATTTAATGAATCTGATTCGGAGACACGATGGAACGCGTGCAAAGAATGGGGTAGCTCAAGAGGTGCAACAGGGTCGCAAGAACCTTCTTTTGGGCATTTCATTCTCATGATAATATGCCAGCTAATACAAAAAAGAACACTTTTAATCCACATACTTGGGGGATTAGAGGGGAAAAAAGGCTATCGAATTTTCTGTTAGGACAATTTCAAAAAAAAAAAAAAAAAAAAAAAAAAAAAATTTCAAAAAAAAAAAAAAAAAAAAAAAAAAAAGGAGTTAATAAAAAACTTCAAGTAAATGAGTAAAGGAAAACAAAATTCAAAGTCACATTGAAACTAAATTGATTCGCTTAAGTCTTCTAAACCTATAAAAATGATCCTGAACAAAAAAAAAAAAAAAAAAAAAAAAAAAAAAGGAGTTACATAAAAAACTTCAAGTAAATGAGAAAGGACAACAAAATTCAAAGTCACAAAACCTAATTGTTCCTTAAGTCTTCTAAACCTATAAAAATGCCTGAACCCCGACAAGAATATATAATCGAACTAATGAAATGGCTACCAAGCATGCTGCATGTGTCGAGAAATTCTAGAACATAATAATTATGTTACCTGTCAATTTTCATTTCCTTGGCAGCCTTTACTTGTTCTAAGAATGACTCCACAGATAAACGATCAGTGCCTGGGTTTTTCTTTCCCTGTGAATCAACAAGACACATGATATGAAATTCTCATTCAAAGCTTAATGATGCCTCCAGCATTCTATTGTTTGTCACAGTTGATTCAGTCAAAAGAATTTAGCAACTTCAAGAGAGCAAATATACAAGAAGAGGAAATTGGGTTCTTTGTTAGTTCCACTGCCCAAATAACAAAACTAAGCTGCCAGCACACTGGATTAGTTACCATCGAATTACTATTAACATTAACAGGATTTCTTTTGTGCAACATTTTAACATAAAAGAAGGATGTCAATGGTATTTAAAAATATATAATGGCCAGGATAAACTATAAGTACAACAACATAAAAGCAATCTATTAACTAAGAGCAAAAGATCAGTAAATCATACCCAACCAAACGAAAATGGCAAGTTATTTCCTGTTCCTAGTGGTACTGTGGCAATAGGTGGAGGCTGAGGTAGTTTGAGATCACAAACTACACCAAGAAGCCAACCAGCTGTACCATCTCCACCTGCAACCTAATGATGTGAGTATACATCAGAGACAAATAAATCCATGTCGAAGACATTACACAAAACAAAAAATTACACATTAAAACAATCTAATCTAATAACAGCATTACTCAAATAATGAGTTAACTCACTATGATTCTTAGTCTCTTCTCAATTTCAGTAGCTAATTCATCACCATTAGTCTTCAATGTTTGAAGATTTGCATAAATTTGATGAAGTGCCTTATCAGGAGCCTTTTCTCTCAAATCAATAACCTATAAAAATAAGTCCCGATCCATAATTAAGTCATTTATTTTGTAATCGTCCAATTTCTTGACATGAAAAACTTTAAATTAACCTGGTTTTCATTAAGAAGTGTACGATATGTAAGTAAAAGCTCTCCTCCTAGCTGGCCTCCACTTTTTGAGTTGATGAACACAATCACAGGACATGAAGGTATATGAGAAGCATTCTCGGGCTCTGATCCAGGTACAAGAATATAATCTGGAATATAAAATTCCTCCAAAAAATTCTTATCCAGGATCGTTTCATGACTACTGCAGAATTGGAAAATAAATCCTTAGAATTTAAATTAAATTAACAAATATCTATAAAAATTAAAGAAATGCTAAATCCAACCTTCTGGATACGAGATTACGAAACGAGTTTCTAATTTCTCTCAATCTACCCGAACGAGGCGAGAAGCTATTATGAAATTCCGTTTTCTTCATCAAAATCAACTAATCAACAACGACTACAAATATTCCTTCAGTTTCCCTCGGTTTTCTCGTCGACCAAACAGAGCAAAGAACAATAAAGAACAATATATGAGATACCTAATCCGGAGAGAAAAAGGAATATATAAAGATTCACATGATGAGCAATAAGGATTTGTTGAATTGTCGTTGTCAAGTGATTCTTCTCTGATTCAATGCTTTACGGGACGCGCTTTTGTTGATTATTAATAACTAATTATGATTATCAGAATTAATTACGATTGACAAGTGTACAATAAGACAGAGAAAGCAACGGCCAAATGAAATTAAAAAACGAAGCAGTATTTATTCTTATTTTTTTAGCCGTTGTTTACCATTTCAAAGGGAATCAAAGGTTAGAAACGAAGACGGAATTGGCATTTCTCGTTTGGTTTCGTGTTTGGCTTCGATAAGTAGCGATACCTTTTAGCTGCGAAACCAAACGGAACCGGGAATGTGTAGTGGCAGTTAGTTTTTCACTGTGGGTGACCTCATTATGTCATAGCGGATTAGGTGAACAGATCGCGTTAATGAGGATAAAAAACGACGAGGTTTTGACTCATTTGTGATGTGGCAGTGAATGATTGGACGAATTCTTTAATAAAGATGCGCGTTTTGCATTGGATGCTAGACTCTAAATTCAAATTGAACGGAATTGTTATTGGAAATGACATGGAAGGCTCCTATTTGTTACGTGTTCACATACGAAAATGGGAGGGAAAATGTGGGCCCAACTTAGAAAAGCCTGAATGGCCGAAACTTCATAGCTTGTTTTGTCATCTTGGCGCCAACATGAGTGAGAGGGGCCCCATATTTTTTTTTTTAAAAAAAAAAAAACTGCAGCCATGTAGCATTATTATTTATTATTTATTTTAATAAAAAAATTGTAATTCATTTTTTTTGTTAGTCATATAAGAATATGTAATTAATTAATAATCGGGCTAAAATAAGGGTTTTAATTTCGCCTTGAAGATTTTTTTAATAGAAAAACCAAATTTTAAATTAAATAGATAAATCTTTAAATATCTAAATTAAGAAGCCAGATGGTTAAAGAAAATATACAAAACTCTAGAGAAATGCAGTTGTCTTTTTCTCCTCAAGGTGAATGCTTAAAGTCCATCCTTCTTCACATACCTTGCCTTGAGACAGAAGATTCTCATAAGCAAGCAAACTTGTTGATTTAGTGAGGTAAATGTCTGGATTTGGAGTAGCTTCCTCTTTTCTGTCTCCTTTAGAGAGATTCACTGTCCCTTTCAATTTTAAAAATGATTATAAACGTTCCATTTTTTCAGTTCAGTCAATTCCCAAGTTTGGGAAGATGAGAAACTTCGCTTGTGTTAGAATTGAGAATTGACTTCTAAAGATTAATGGCTATTTGTCAATATAAATTATTGATGAGCTAATATTTTTTCCCTTGATAGGAAAAGCAACCAATTTTGTTTAAGCAAAAGTCGCTTTCCCTCTTATTTTTTTGGCTAATCTAACTTGGATTAAGTTCAAATTTAGATTTCTCATCTTCGAAGACGACTTCATGTCAATATTGATATTAGGGTTTAGGGCCGCGAGTTGGTCCTTCCAAACAAGGTTTTGAAAACCGGTCCGACTTGGCCGATTCCGGTTCTAGCAAAGTTTTCAGCTGGATCCAACGAAAACATTTTCATTTTCAGGCCAATTTTCCCTAGACAGATTCCGATCCGATTCTAGTCCAAAACTGGGCCATGGCTGGATCTAATCAGCATGGCACCACAAAAATTATAACATGGATTAAACAAAATAGCCTTATGTAGTTAACAAAAAGAGCAAAGCCCATCTATTAAACTTAGAAAAATATTTTTTTTATATTAAAACTTTAATATTTTTTTCATTTTTCAGTCAAATTTTCCCTTTTGAATTAACTTTATCTTTTGATTATTAGGGGTTAACAATTAAAAAGAATAAAAAGGAAAGTCCTAAGAAAACATATAAAACCAACAAAAACCTGAAATTGAATTGACACTTGAGTCCTTTAAAAGCCCTATCTTATACCACAATAGATGAAGAATAACAAGAAACGGATCAAATGACCAACTGAACGTCGTTGTAGCATCTAATCTATATTTCCATAAATCTCTGCATAAAATTCTTCAAATTCAGGGGATTGCTTGACTTACTTCTCCAACAAGTTCAGAAACCCAGATGTTGATTTTCATCAATTGAAATCATCTAGTTAATTTTTGGCTAAGAAGAAAGAAAGAAAAAGAAAACTTCTGCAAACATGCTGGATAGTAGAAAACTGACTGACTCAGCATCCCCATATGAAGTGAAAAGAGATTCTTGCATGCAAATGCATATCAGTGCACAAAAGTCCAAAACTTTAACATTCATGAGATCACAGTAAAAGCAGCACGCAGTGGAAGATTATTCCGGTGCCATCACTACCGCTAATCCATGACATATTTTCACAAATAGAATGATTAAGTTCCCCATTATCATGGTGCCACAGCATCAATGCAATGATAACTTAAAATATGATATAGTAGTCAAGTTTATTAATATGAACTTCTTAGATGGATCTGAATAAAAATTGGTAACACACTTGCTTATTAGAGTTGCCTGTCTAAAATTCTTCCAGTACAATATGTAAGCATAAAAGAGTGCCAGTGCGATAAAATCACCTGTGCTCTCTTCAATTGACAAAGTACGGAGGTAATCCAAGTTCAAGGCAGATGTCAATATCAAATCCCCAACTGATAGATCTAGAAACTGACCATTGCTAAGAAGCTGCATAAAAACAAACTGGAAAGGAGTTGCAAAAGCAAATCTACTTCCAATTTCGTGTAACAAGTCAAATTAAATAAAATACAAAAACAATTATCAAGCTAACAAGAAATAAATTTTAACAAACCTGAACTCATTAAAACATCTCCTATGAATTTTGGCTGGAGAGCCTAAACGTGTCCTCAAGCCTAGACCATGATTGAAGTTCAATATGTCAAATTCGATGTACTCCCCACCCACCCAGCACCCACCTCCGACCAAAAAAAAAAGAAAAAAAATTCTATTGATGTCATCGCTTATAGCATTGGAACTTTTCATTTCAATGAAATCAGCTTAGACTGGATTGCTAACAAAGCCTATCTTCTTCAGGCCATTAACAAATTACTGATGTGGAAAATAAACCCATTTACAATAACGCATGCCAGTTGGCACACCATTAAAAGCCAATTTTGGTGCTAGTAACCTTCTCATTAATGCAGCCAGCACTTCTAGCAGCATTCAATGAGTTTACAAGAGCCATGGACCATGGAAAATTGATTCAGGTCAAAGCATTTGAATCAATGACCTTTGACAGGATATACACAATAGATCGTCGAAGAGGGATTACCTTCTAAACCATGTCAATCCATTTAATAAGATTGCCATTACAAGACAGCAAGCTTTGTGACAATAGAAAATAATTATGTGCATACTGACATGAATATATTAGTCAATGGGATTATCCCGGAGACAGAAGCATTCTTGTATCACTATACTTCTTTTTACACATTTGATAAACTTATATTACAGATTGATTTCATGAAAACCAAAGAAATTTGATATTAGTAAGAATACCTACTTTAGTCCAAGATATGTTGGGTCCAAGATGCAATTACTCAAGATTCCTTGTTAAAGGGCATGTCTTTCCACCCTGTGAATTTTATCTTCAGTTCTTTTTCACCCTGCCCCAAATGATGGCTAGAGCTCAAGTCTGCTCCTGTTTTAATAGTCTTGCCAGTGTCAAATGTGTTAAACTTAGCTAGAGCCTTTCTTCGCTTGTATGTCAAAGGCAGCACATGTTCATCTTTAATTCTCTCAGAAAAACTGGTTTCACTTAATAGCTTCTCTGATTTTTTCACACTGACGTCAACCTCACCTCTCATTGAATCTGAAGGCAATGCCATGAATATTTGTTGCGAACCATTAACAATGGCTGAGGTTCTGGGAACTGCTTCTGGAATTCTTGGATACACTGTGATATGCTTATCTTTCACGAGCGCCATATGCTGTTCTCTGCCATGATATATACCAAACGGGTATGGTTCCAAGGATCTGAGGGAAAAGTCTTCATTTCCTTTTTGCAAATCTGGCCACATACTTTCACTACCAAATCTATACCTCCTTGCATCCATTGGATTCATTCGAGCACTGTACTCTTCATTACAATCCCTTCCCACATCATTTCCAAACAACTTGCGTTTTCCTAAAATAGATTTGTCTTCTATAGAAGGAATTACTTGCCTCTCTGTTGTCCTGGTAAAGGTTTCTGATTGATGACTGGTTCTTATAGTACTTTCCTGCTGACTTGATAGACAATGAGATTGGCTTGGAGTTGAATGAACTCTGCTACCATCAGCTTTCTGCCTTCGAAATGATGATTCATAAAGGGCAGTAGCATCAGGAAAGCGCATATATTCTGGCAAAGAAGAAAACTTAAAATCTTGTAAACCTTGGGTCCTGACCAGAAATGTTGTTTGTGCTGCCCCTGGCACCACTTCTGGTTGTTCTAGCCGAAAAGAAGGGATTTTAGGTACTATTTTCAACACTCCCTTGGGTACAGTACGACACTGCTCCAAAATGTCACTGCCACTTACTTTTAAACTGTGATTTGGTAATAAGCCATTTCCAGATGGCTTCATCTTTAAAACACCCTTTGCTCTACTGTTTGGAGCAATAACTTTCATTGGGTTGACAGATAGAGAGGGCAAAACATCCCTTGTCTCACTTTCTGCTGATTTCATTCCCTTTATGCCCAAGCTAGCCTCCTCACTTAACAAGTGATCGTCCTTGGGAAATTTGTTAAGATCAAGCAAATTGATAACTCTCTGTTTTCTCTTTATTTTCCACATGGACATCCTTTCCTCGACACTGGAGCTCAGTTCACATTGATTCCACATCCTTCTCATGTCTACAAACATTTGTGTCATCCTGTCATGGAAGGATCTCAATGCATGATAATACTTTTTTCTCTTTATAAATTGCAAACCTTCCCTCAGATGAGTCACTTTGGGAGGATAGAATCCACCTTTCAATCTTTTGAAGAACTCATCCAAGGGACTTCCAAAATATAAATCACTACCATTAAAAAGCTCCTTCATAGTCAAACAAAAAGTTTGCTGGTCCATATCTGGAAGGTAAGCAGACAGATAGAACCTTTCTTCCTCAGTTAGACAAGAATTCCAAGTTTCTAAAGATAATATTTCCCTTAAATCTGGCAGATCATAAAGCTCATATGGTATGCCGCACAGCTGACCTTCCAACATGCCAAGTTCACAGTGCAACTCAGTGAGCTCACAATCATCAGAATCATCACCAGAATCTTCCCCTAAGACAGGGTCATCTTTCATTTCCTTGTCCCCACCAGTGGATAAGGAAAATGTTTTACCATATCTCAAACTCCGATGTCCAATCTTTTGAATTCCCATCGATCAAGAAATCAACAAATCATCAGTGTGAAAACTTGATTACCACAGTTAAGATCGCCAAAGAGAAAAACCTAGAATCCATCAAATTCAATTCTACATAATTAATCTTTTAAATGTTATAAATTAGATATTTGCAGGAGAATATTCCAAAAACTCCACAAGGAGAGAACATATTATATCAAGTGAGTCACAAGAACATTATTTTCCATAGTTAGAAAGCATTAAAGGCTTAAGAGAGATCACAACAAAGAAAAAAAAAAACGTGTCAATGAGACAATCATTAACAGCCCTCAATGTTCCAAAACTACCTAAATTGCACTAGTGATGAGAAAAAATTTTCAGTCGAGGGTGATGCAGAAATTTGACTGAGTTTCTCAAAATGATAACAATGTTGAAAATGGCCAATATAACCAGAATATGGTGCTAAATTTAATGAGCAAGCATAATGAAACTGTCTTTCAACCAAGTAAATGTGATAATATATATATTTACACATTCATTTGTGTGCTTGTTTATTGTTTTCTACATATGCAAGAAATGTGGAAGTGATATAGAGATGGTCTTCTAGCACTACCAGAAGCATTTTGGACTTTAATATCAATATAGCAAATTGTGTTACAGGCTACAATATATCACATGAGAACACATCTATCATTTATTTCCATCATGTTATCATATCTCACCTCAGAAACATCAAAAACATAGTTGTGGATGATGACTCGACGCTGTCTTCAGCAGCAGATTGATACAGCTCTGAGGCCTGGTGCTACAGGCCCCAGTATATTGTACTTTGTAGTCAAAATGAGCACCATCATTTGCTTTACGTGTCATAACAATACACGCAATTTGATGCTTAGATGTGCCAAATCAGTAAAAAAGTATGAATGGAAGACAAATCAAATCTAATATACAGCCATTAATTGGTGGGCATCAACTAAAACATATCATGTAATAGTCATGGCTTAGCCTTTTTTTTTTTATCGTCATGGTTAGATGGAACCATCTGTTAGAATTTGGACAGCTTACTAACTCCACAACTTCGATTCAGTCAAAAGAATACCATCCATTCAGGACAAGAGATTCACAAGGAATGAAAATATCTCCATTGTGATTTGACCCTGGAATTGGAATCCTGGCCAACAAGTTGAAGGCCATCAGGATAACCCACTTTTATATGGTTCGACGAAAGGCATGGAGGCAAACTCCATGTTTGTATCTTCACAAGGTACATAAAGGTTCAGGGTTGATCCCAAAATTCTCTTTGAAATTCCTAATTAGTAATTGAATGATTAAAGAATAAGAAAATCCGATTCCTCTCGGCAGCACTCATGGTTTGAAGTTGGATATGACTCTTCTTGGCTGTTAGCTCAAAGGGCAGACCCTAATATCACAAGGTTCACAAAGGTAGGTCTCTCAAAGTCATCCTCCACACTTAGTCAATAGCACCAACAAAATAATAGATGGAATAGACAATAACAAACAGAAAGTTTCCGAGAGCCTACTACTGTTTCAATTATCTAGGACACGTGGAAATCTGACAGAAATCCTAACTGAAGAACAGGTATATACATCATTCAAAAGACAAATAAGAACTTTAATTACAACAGGAAAAAAATGTATTCTTAGAGGAAATGAACAAACCAAGTCATACCCATAAAAATGATTTTTCAGCTACCATATCAAACAACGAAATGTTCGAGAGCCACAAAACTATAGAACTTCGACCGCACAACAAGAGTGTATGAGATGCACAATTGAAAGAAAGGTAATCAACAGCTATGCAGTTTTACATATGACACCGTTGGACATTTCCAGCAACTGCAAAAAGACCATAACAGTTCATTTTAACAATAACCGCACACAAATCCTAATCACTAATTTTTCTTCCATATCTTAATCGTCGCAATGCATTAGTTTTTACAACTTGATTTACAATTCTCTTTTACTTTTCGAGACTTATTTAAGTAATGGGTATTAAAATTTATAACATAACTGTCCCTAACACTCCTAAGGTACCTGTTATAAGCAAATCATAATGCCACCTCATGTACAAAAATGTATGATCCATATAAAGAATAGCATTCAACCAAAAGGAGCAACAAACGACCAGTATAAAATAGAGCAAGAACGTTTGGTCATTAGCAAAAGATAAAACCACCCAACACTTCATTCCGCAGAAATTCGTAATTACTCAGTGCTCATAAAGAAGTTAACTATATTGCCCAAAAAAAAAAAAAAAAAAAAAAAAAAAAAAACAAAAATGTATGATCCCATCTAAAAGAAATAGCATCAATTTCCAAAAGGAGCAACAAGGTTTTTTTTTAAACGACCAGTATAAGTATGGAGAGCAACGAACGTTTTGGTCATTTAGCATATAAGATTAAAACCTACCAACATTCTATTCATTCCCGCAAGTAAATTCGTAATTACTCGTGCTGGCATCATATAGATAGTTTAACTATATTTGGCCTTTCAATAAATAAAAAAAAAAAAAAAGAAAAAGCAATTAGAATCAGCTTACCAATCGCCTCATAATACAATTATTATGAAAAAATGCATGCGTGAATCACATAACGCGGTACGAGGATATAGATATAATTGCATAAAAACAGAAAGAAAAAGAAAGTCTAAGAATATTAGCTAAGAAAGTAGTACTAGAGACGTATGATGACAAGGTAACAGAATGGCTGCTACATTGTAGAACTTTTCCAAGATAAAAAATGATTATCAGGGGAAGATTACAGCACGAGTGAGGAAAAAATAACACTCAATCTAATGATCTGGTTCCAGATTTTTCCCATCATTTGCGTCTACCACATTATATAAAGAAAAGAGGCTAGAACCAAAAAAAAAAAAAAAAAAAAAAAAAAAAAAAAAATCAGCTTACCATCCCTATAACAATTTATATGAAAAATGCAGCGTGATCACATAAGGGTACCAGATATAATAAATTGCAAAAACAAGAAAAGAAAAGAAAAAGCTAAAATAAGATAAGAAATAGTACTACTAATAAAAATGGCTGCACATTTAAACTTTTCAAGATAAAAATATTACAAGAAATTACACACAGTAGGAAAAATAACCTCAATCTATGATCTGGTTCCAGATTTTCCCATGATTTCTCTACAACCAAAAAAGAAAAGAGGCTAGAAACCAAACTATTCATCAAAACCTAACAACCTCAGTTGAACTATTATAAAATTGAGTGAGAAACAAACCTCATCATTAGTAGTGAAGATGGTTATAGACGGATTTAGCAGTGATAGCCATTAAAAAATCCTACAACTGATCGTGGAATCAACAGTTAAAATCCAACAAGAAAAGTTTGAGATGCTACATGCTAATTCGGTTAACTTCAGAAATCCAACTCACTCACTCTCTCTCTCTCTCTCTCTCTAATATTTGGTGGAGCTCGAGTTTTAAAATTCCTCAAAAGTTTGGGTTTGCATGAAAACAATAAGCTCATATGGTAGAACTTGGGCCTGCATATAAAAATTTTGGCCTCTAAGCAAATATGATCGAGTCTATTTGGGAGACAGAGGCAAGTGAATAGAAAAGGAAAATGAAAGCAAATGTACATTCTCACCCCAATGTTCCCTTTGATATAAATAAATTCCACGAAATTTCAAATAGTTTAATTAAACTTAATATTTTTCTTTTAAATTTTCTATATTGAATTTGCAAGAAATTGTCCACTAAACCAAGTTTGTATTATCATTTTTTTAAAAAAAAGTTTGTATTATCATTTAATTAACTATTTATGAAATAATTTTTTTAAGAAAAAAAATACATATTTCATTGATCAAAAATAAGGTAGAAGAATGAAATACAAATTTCAATTTTAAAAATATGAAGTATAAATCAACATGTTATCTTCTTGCAATAGACGAAATTATTATTTATAAAAAAAATTCAATTTATATTTTAGAGTGTTCAGTTTAAAAAAAAAAAATGTTTATTTTAATTCTATATCCACTTATATATTTAGAATTGATCCTGCAAGCTTTTAGAATAGGAAAAAGTATAAATTAAAAACTAAAAATAAAAAGTGATACCAAACAATCCCTATGTTTCTGAAATTTTGGATTAATACATTTTTATTTTAATAGCTCCTTAGTCTATATTCTATAATCAACCACAAAACTTAAAAGAAAATAAATGATTAAGCAGCCATTCAGTTTGGTAACTAAGTTGCAGGCAATACCACTCTAAATACTACTCTAAATGATGTTGCCGAACATAGTCATAAGCATATAGTTGTTGGAACACGGTGCTAATGTTTGAATTAAAGAGGAAAGAAAAGAAAGAGAATATATTTTTAAAAAAAAAAAAAGAAGTTATTTTCTTTCTTGTTGTCTGGATATAGAATTATTTTCCTACACTAGTTTACCTTAATTTGGAGAAAAAATTTCAAAAGAAAAACGAGTGTTGTATTCTAAAATATGTTAAATGTTTTTGACAGTCAATATGTTTTGGTTAACAAACAATGGAGTTCCAGTTTGACTAGAAGATGGCGAATTAGATTTCAGAATTCAATCTTAGCCACAAAGTTAGACTAACAATATACATATACAAATACAAGATCTTTCTGTAATCCTATATGATAATTATAGCATAGATTGCTTCTACCACTCTATAATAATTGAACTAAATAATAACAAGCAACAATCAATCTCTTTCGAATGTTCTTGAATTTCAGATTCTGTTGGTCCAGGTGTCTTTTGATCGTCTGCACAAATTGTTATTTATGTAAATATATACGTGTTTCTTTATTTTTTATACATATTTTTATACTCGATCAAGATAGTATATAGATGAATACATTTCGTTTATAGAACTAAAAAGAATTAAAATGTACCATTTCAGGAAAAAAAGGGGTTAGAATGTACACATCAAATGCAGCTAATTACATCACAACATGAAGTGGTGAACATATATAGAATTGAAATTAAGGAAAAGATTTATTTATATTCGGGATAAAAGATTTTGTAGTTATTGATAACCTTGATTCCTGTATGAGTGATAATGCAAGTTTAATCCCGAAAAAACTTACTTTATTTTGAGATTAAAAATCTTTATACTCTACGGCTCGAAGAGATTTGAATTGTAGTTTAAGAGACAAAGATTTATTCGATCAACAAAATAAAAGAAAGAGAATTTCTTTATTCTACATATTTTTTATTCAAAAATAATTTATTCATGCATAGATCATAACATGCATGTAATCAATTATTTAATATTTATACATAGTTTATGAAGCTACTAATTGACATATCATCAAATAATTAGGAATTTATAATGTTTTAGTTGGTCTACCAAATTAATTTGTGTGCATTGTTGAGACAGCAAGCTATTATTTTCTGCAACAATATTAATTAATACAAATGCTTACCACATTGAGTATAAAATTTGATTTCTTCAATAAGTTATAAATTTATTTATAACCTTAATTAGGAATCCCTTTACCATAATAAGTATGAGGGATTATGCCTTATCTACAACTTTAGAAAAGGATTAGAAACCTTAAAAAAATCTGGCTCCCAACAAACACAAGGACATCATGCTGAGATTATGGTGTAATAAGTTTTTTTTTTTTTAATTAGTTAAATATTTTTGAGAAAGTAATATATTTTTTTCCTTTTTTTACTATATATTACTTAAAAAAAAAAAGATAAGGATAATGCACTCAATCTATTGACCTATTGACCGTGAAAGATATTATATAAAATAGAGTTGGAAGTAGAGGGCATGACCCTAGCTCTATGGTTATTAGTTACTAGCATTTTTAGGTTTGGCACTCCTATAAGTCCTAACTCTGTCTATTTCTCTTCTACTTTGATTCTTATTATTATTATACATGGAAGGGCAGATAGACCGAGACAATTTTACGAGCTATACAGTAAAAGATAGTCGTCTCCTTTGAATTACATTATTTATTTATTGGTAAATAAAGAGAAAAACCGAAACATTACATGCAAACTCGAAAAATAGGCTACAACAACAGTATTATGAAGGACACAATTATTCAAACCCATCGAGGAGGAGAACACGAGAATCAAGAAATCAGCTAACCAATCAGCACAATGTGGTCAATTCAACAACTCTATTAACCTGATGTCATCTTATAATTGAGACATTTAATCATCTTAACCACAATTGAGTTGTCACATTTAAAGAAAAGTTCATTAATATCACAAGACTTATTTTTAATTATTCTGGCTAATTTCATAATTTTTTAATCTTTACATTTAACATTCCTTCGTTTCATATATATTTGGATATCTAAAATTTTATTTTTATTTTTATTTAATATATACATTTAAACTGATTAACTTAAAAAATAATTTTTCTTCTCATAATCAAATTTTGAATTTTTGATCAAAATATTTTTAAGACTTTGTATTCCTCATCTTAACCACAATGGTAAGAAGGGTCAACAGATCAAACTATTTTTTCTTACCTCATTAATGACCGTCACAACATTAATCATAATCATTGTAATGGACACTCCCTACATTTTATAGGAAAGGTAAAAAGATTAATCAGATTACACCTAATTTCCCTACATTTTATAGGAAAGATAAAAAGATTAATCAGATTACACCTAATTGGCTAATTATTTTTTTAATTATTCTGTACAAATATTAATATTTATATTAGCAGACGAACAATGGCGGAACCAGAAAAAATAATTAGAGGAGATGAAAAAAATTTTCAAAATTTATAGGGTATGGAATCGAAAAAAATCATTATTTTATTAAAAAAAGTAAAATTTTATATATTTTTATAAAGTAAATTTAAAAAAAAATAAAAATTAGAGGGGACGGCCGCCACCATCTGCCACCCCCTAGTTCCGTGGCTCACTGAACGAATATAAGATTAGCAAATTTTTCTTAAAGGTTACATACAGACATGCAGATGGATTATTCTCAATTTGAAAAAAAGGATTAGCATAGACAGTATTGTTTGAAAATTAGTAGTATCAACTTGTTTAAAGACTTAATTTGGTGGTTAATTAATTTGATGTTACAATTAATGGGGATAAGAAGGGTCAACAAGTCATTAATGAGGAAGACAAACTAAGATTTAGTCAAAGTTTCCTTACTCTTTCTAGCCACTTATTTAAATCTTTGTCCGTTTTAACTGTCCGCAAATATGATTAATCTTCGTTCGTCTTTGTCTTTGGAGGAAAAAAGATTAATCCAAAGAAATTTTGTATTGTAAAAAAATAA